CTGTACAATTACGTCGTTATATATTGCAAGTAATATTAATAAAGTGCACAATAAATGTAATGCACTTGAATCATCCCAAAACCATCCGCCACTCCCCCACCCCAAGTCCGTGGAGAAATTGTCTTCCATGAAACCCGTCCCTGGTGCCAAAAAGGTAGGGGGCTGCTGGTCTACACTTTATAATTCCTTCACATACCCACCGGAGGGCAACAGGGGTGGTACGTCCTGTTCTGGTTAGATCTGCTTAGGAGTCAAAGTTAATCTTAGGATGAACACTTAGCCTCTGTGGGTAGTGGCGGTGAAGGGAAGCACGAGCAAAGAAGGTGGTAAGTTGAATTATTGGGTTGGCTAAAAAGTTTTTAATATTTTCCGTATGATGACTCTAGTAGTGCTTAGTTGTCTTTAACTTCGTTCAAAACAATTTTGTTGGACTGTACTGGGACAGCTGTCGTGTCAGTATATATTTTTTTAAAAAATCAAAATCGGTGAATTTCTGTGCAGTCATTTCAATGTTGAAGCTGGAAGAAGCAATATTTTCAGCATACAGTGTTTTCTAAGAAAGGTAAAAACGCAACTGAAATGCAAGATTTGTGCAGTGTGTAGAGAAGGTGCTCTGATCAAACGTGTCAAAAGTGGTTTGCGAAAGTTTCTTGGTACTATCGATATTTTGGCCAAGTAATTCTTTGCTGTGGGGCTGTCTTATGCATTAGAAGGTGTTTAACTGCACCCCTGGCCTCTACCCACTAGAAGCCAATAGTGGGAGATAGCCGACATACTCAAAATATCCATTCAATAAAGTAATTGATGAAAATGAAAATGTCTTTTACTTTACAGAAAAGACTAAATGGATTTTTTGGCCAACCCAGTATTAGGAAGCTGCTGTGTGCTCAGGGCAATGCTACTTACTCATATGATCACATGTAGCCTTCACAACCAACACCTTCCTGCCTGGTTCCCCCGCTTCTCCTCTGGCCCTCTCCCGCATGCTCTTGGCACAGTGCCCGAGAGATCCGAAATGACCCCACTTCCTTGCTTAAAACCATGAAGTTCTGCTAACTTCCTCTCACGCCAACCTTCCTTTCCTCACTGGACTACAGCTACAACTGTTTTCCATTCCTTAGCACACTGCCGTCTACCCTAAACGTCCATCCCTGGAGCTCCCTCAGCCTGCAGCACCCAGTGCCCTGGAGCTAGCTCCACCTGTCATTCAGGTCTCAGCTCACGCGGCACCTCTATTAGGCCGTTTGACCACCTTATCTAAAAAGGTAATCCTCACCCACTTTGTCTGTTCTTCCCCGCCCCCCCAGTACCGTTTACCATCTGAAATAACCTCACTCGACTTTGTCTAGCCCCTCCCATTAGTATGTACATCCCATGACCAAGGATAACCAGACTGTCCTATTCATCATCACATATTCCCAGCACCTAGAACAGTGTCTGGTGCATAGGAGACACTCAGCTTGTTGCTGAACCCTGGAAAGTGGATGGCACACTCATGCTGCAGGTGACAAAATGGGCTCCAAGTGCCGCTGCTTACGCAACTTGACCAGCTGGGAAGCTACTGGAACCTGTTCTTTGCAATACTGGAAGGTTTAATGGGAGTCCCTGGATATCTGGAGTCCAGGTGTCATTTTGTTTGGTTGGCCAAGTCATGTTGGGCCACAAAACACAAAGGGCTAGGTTTTCAAGGAGACACTCAGCTTCTGTGAACTTCCTCCCTTTCAACCCCTATGGAGCTAATCCAGATTTAAGAAATTGGATCGTGGTCAGAAATTTATCTTTAGAAATCACATCCCACCCAAAATATCCTTGAGGTTTGACAACTACTCATTCATACATGAGATTATGGAAGTGATTACATCTAATATTTCTCACCCCGCTTGCCCCAGTCTTCTTTCTTCTTGCACTGGGCAATGTTTTGGCCAAAGTAATCAGTACAAATTAATCAGTTAGAGAGAAATATCATTTTAGCCAAGATCATACATTTTATTTATCACATTTACCTTGTCTCCAACATAGTCTGCAAAGAAAGAACTAAAAGCTTCAGAGAAAATGGGGAGGGGAAAAAGTACAACGATGAAATCCAAAGAGGTGAGGAGAACAAGGCAAGTCCTCCTTTTTCTCCAAAAAGATGTTATCTCCTTCTCCATTTTCATCAAAAGGATCTGCTGCACAGAAGAACCTCCTTCCACACAGGCATTAAGGTGCTCTGCAAGGTCCTTCAAGGGCCTTTGGATCCCCAATGAGTGCATGTAAGAACACATCAAGGTAAAATAACAAAAGGCCAAAGTTTAAGATAAAGAGGGACAGGTATTAGCATACTCAGGTACTCGAAGGCTTTTCGCCCGCTATAATCCAAGTGATACAAGGACATAAAAGGTACAAGGAAAGCTATGAGGTGGTGACCTGTGTAGCTAAGGAGTTTGAATCCCATTGTGAAGGGCTATGGCACTTGAAGAGAATCATGACTCTTTATTGGGTAGGGCGGTATTAGTCACAATCATTAATGACGAAGAATATAAGCTGTTCTAGAAATACTCTGAACAGATCTAGGTAGTTGAATTCTCCAACTTATCACATTATAAACTCTGAAATACACAGTAGGCATAGTAATTCTTTATCTTAGCACCAAATCGCTCTCATTCTTCATACATTATTAGTTGGATTTTATCATATAACAAAATAAAGACCACATTGTTTCATTACAAAGTACATGCAAATAAAAAATAATTGGAGGTTTTGACAAGTCCATGTCAGTCAGGAAAACAAGTATTCCCTGCTTCAAGACTTTCTCTAACATATGCCTGCCATTTAAGTAAAATCAATCATGCTTTTAGGGCAATCAGTTCAGAATTAGACCAGTATCTTGAGAAGTACTTGAGTGAGATTTCTGCTTGTCATACTCACACATGTACAGTGCTTGGTACAGAGCTGGACATGCTGCATTTTTCTGGGGAGGAAACATTCTTAAAATAAGATATATCAGAAGTCGAGAGGATAAGCATCCTATGAAACACTTAGGGTACACATAGGTGGTCTTGAAATTTAGAGTTAAAATTCACATTAGCTAAATGTTACTGTGATTGGAGAGCATAAAGATAAAAAAATCTACTTAGAACACCTTTTGGTTTTGATAGCTCACTATACTCCACAAAAGAGGCCTGCATTAGGCCCAGATAGTTTATCTTCCTAGGAGTAAATGAAGAATTTGACAAATCCTTTATTAAAATGTTAGCACAGCCAGAAAACATCTGAAAAGCATTTTCCTAAATGCTTTTAATAAACTGCTCACCCCAGTAGCAACTGAAGTGCAATAAAACAAAATGTGCTGAAGAAGAAAACTCATCTAATGCACTTCACATAATAGAACTGTTTAGCTGCTCAGTTAGTGTCAGTGTATAGAGGGAAGTGCTTACTCTTTTCCATTTCAATGTTTCAGCTAGATGGAAGAACAAGTAATGTTTTTAATCAAACTTTTGCTTTTCCAAATTCATGTTTGTGCAGTTTCCAGAGCTTCACAAATGTCCTGAGGACATTACTACAAAGCTATTATTTCTGAGAATTTAAAGTGTCATTTCCTTATTTTTGTGTAATCTGAGAATAAAGACTTTAACTTGCAAATACACACAATATAAGGTCAATTACACATTATTAACCCTCTTCTCAGTCTCCTCTCAGGATACTATTCTCTGTCCATTCATTTTGTGAAAATTGTACATTGCTGCTCAGCTCCGATAATTGGTATAGATTCTTTTTTTTAACTTTGAACTTAGACAAAACATCCCATGCAGTATGTTTCATACTATTCTCCAGGTCTTTCCACATATATCCTATTTAAATTGCTTACGTTGAGATTTTCTATTATTGGGCCTCCTTTTAGGAACTTTGGTTTATGCAATTCTACAATAATAAATGACAAGTTATAGAAAATATTTATAAAAATTCACTTGATAAAAATGTTTTTCTCAAAGAAGATTAAGAATTAAATGTTTGGAAGAGCAGGACAGCAGATTATAAAGTGATATTCAGTGTGCAATAAACTGGAATATCCCCAAATGTAAGTTTTCAAAATCTGTTAACTAAAATACAAACCAAGTACAAGAAAATATCTTTTAAAGGTACCAATGCTATGAAATTGTAGTGTTATTGTGTTTTAAAAGATGTTCCCATCATTAGTTTTCAGAAATACTGAATGGTTACGAATTTTAACTATTACTGTATGACAACCACATGCCAGTGATTTACATGTGATTTCACCCTTACAATTAACACACAAGGTTATTACCCCATTTTATATGTGAGAACATAAGATTCCAAAAGATCACACAGTGAGGAAGATGAGCTGGTATTCAAGTCCAAATATGACTCCGTGGCAAAATGACTATCTAATCTAAACACTGACTTTACTAAATGCCAAAACTTTAGTTCCCTTTTCATCAGGCAATAAATAAAACTAAAAAAGCATTTGTGTATGGTCATTAAGAGTAATATAGTACAATTTCAAAATCACATAGCTTGCTTTGAAAATATATTTTGAGCCCTATGCTATAAAGTATTGAAAATTAAATTACATCATATATAACCATTAAAGAGAATACAGCATAAAACCTGAAAAATGGTAAAGAAAGCACTGTGGAGGAACTGCCATATAACTTGGTATTACTTTGTTTTCTTTTGAGGGTTCTACTCAGAACAGAAAATACCTATGTGCCATTTGGGACAAATCCTTTTCAAATCCCATAAGGACATAGAAAAACTTGAAAGAAAAAGTAGGCTTTAAAAAAGAATCAATGCACACGCTACCACATGGATGAACCTCGGGCACATTACGCTAAATGAAATAGGCCAGCCACAAAAAAACAAACACTGTGTGAGTCCCCTTATTTGAGATATCTGGAGTAGCCAGACTCACAGAAAGCAAATGGGAGGTTTACAGGGGTGGGGGTGGGGACGGGGGAGAAATGGGAAATTTAATAGGTAAAGAAACATTATGGGGACTGGTTACACAACGTGAATACACTTAACATTACTAACTGTAGATCAAAAAGTGGTTAAGATGGTAAATTTTGTTATGAATATTTTACCATAATTAAAAATAAAAAATTTAAAGGAAAAATGGATTATTTTTAACATAATGATACTGTCATTACTCTTTAAAAACAGAACATTTAAATATATACTAATAGACTGGTATTTGCAGGTTGATGGTTATTAATTCTACTACTGTATATGTTTGAAGTTGCCCTCAATGAAATAAAAAAGAACAAAATAACTCTTCAAAAAAGGGGGAACCAATAAGGAAACAATTTCCTAATCAAGAAAATAAGCTATCATAAAAATATTTCATTGTAGTTTGAACATGTAAAATGTAATATTTTATCTACAACTGATAAAGGTAGCACATCACTTAACTTCACTTGGAAACATGCTGCTGAAAACTAGATGCGGTTTACAGGGCTTGCATTAGGAAACTATATGGAGAAAATTATGTGAGCAGCCTAAAGTTTGCTTATGAAAACAACATATTTTTATTCAAGTAACCAAAAGTCAAAAAACAACAAAAAGGGAAGTTCTGCAACCTTTGTTTGTAACTATATAATCTTTCTGTAGAAAAATTATAAAGTGACAGTTTGAAAAGCAGCCCTACAATCAACTGGATCCTCAAATCAAGAGCAACTAAATGATGGAATCAGCTCACCCAAAAGAAATTGTCTTCCTGTAGAATATTTCAGCTGAGCCAAGTTCAAGAATATTATTCTCATTTCCAAAAACTGTCTTTCCTTATATTTAAAATCACCAAAGGTAAGATGTACAAGAGCTTGTTGAAGTAAAAAGAGAAATCACAAATACTCCAAGCATAATTACATGTGAAAATGAATGAGGACATTCTAGCTACAAATCTACACAACTAAATAAATAACCAATTATGCATATACTCCATGTACACAAAGCTCCATGAGGTAGCACTGAGTAAACACTGAGGCATTTTCACCAGTGGAACAGGCTCACTCAGCGCAGCAGTGGTTCCCACTCTATCATCACAGCACTTCCCCCTGGATTTGCATTTGTATATTATCTAACTCCTGGGATGCTGGTAACAAAAATAAAGAAAAAAGCCAAAAGGAGAATGAATTAAAAAGACTGCCTAAATTCCATCCTGAAACATACATGTGAAATATGAATAAACCTAGCTGAGTTTTTATAGTCACATGTTCTTTAAATTTATGCTAGTGTCTTCATCAGTACCTACACTGAATTTCCTATAATTAGCTTTTCCATTAAAATAGAAGAGGAAAACAACAAAGGAAAAAAGCTCTTATTTCTTAAATGTACAGTCTTAGAAAAGTGGTACTGTTTCTTTTTAAAAACAATTTTCTCTGCTAAAGAAACCTTACTGTTGTGGTCATCTGAAAATAGATTGTCACTTTGGCAAACAGATTAATTTGCCCTCATTTTAAATAATCAAAATGATAAACTATTATGGCCATATAATTTTTCAGAACTTATGCCACCATGGAGGTAAATGTGTGTAGAATATTTCTGATAAACCCAAATTAGATCACAACTGACGTATCTTAAAAAATATTTTCAAGTGCTCAAGAATATTAAAATTTGGGGGGAAAAAAATACAAGAGTTTCCTCCTGATATTCTTTAATTAGGATAAAAGTCTCAGAGTAAGCCCCGAGGACTGGTCAGCAATAAAGAAAAATTAGGTCAGTGTATATAGTAACTTCTGAAACTTTAGCTTAAAAGCCAAGAACATTCTGAGCCAAGTTAGAGCCTTCTTTGGGGCCAGCGCTTTTTGTTTAGTACTTTAATCTCTTAAGTTCTCAGCACAGTACAGTTCAGAAATGTTCATACACTTACTAACAGGAATAAGTAGTATGTCCAAAAATAAAATTCCCAAACATGATTCTTTCAATCATAGGTCTCTCTTTGGTAAGAAACAGATCGCCATTTACTTATACTTTCTCTTACCTGTAGAAGAGAGGGAGAATAAGTGATAATTAACCTAGTAAGGAATCCCTGTTTTTATGAATGTTAGGTTAGAGGGTAAAGGGTTTACACCATGTCCTTTATAAGAAGATCAGACAACAGAGCATTTCCACTTATATGTACTGTAACAGAAGATAATAACTGTCCATCACAGAGCCAGAACAGGGTATTTCCTGTAACTAGTAGGCCCTGCCTATGAACATTTTAGTCAAACTGCAGAAATTTTGCTATCTAATTAAGAGTGTTCTATAGATAGGAAACATGAATAACATGCTATTATAAAAATATGGTAGAATATCTCCCATGAAACATTCATTAAATCCATGGAGAATTAAACAGGCTAACTTTTTTTCCCCATTAAGTAAAATTGAAAATAACCTATCTAACAACCTTACTTGCAATTCAGGGAAAAAATCCAATGCCACCTAATACACACATTAACAAACTTCAGAGACTACATATTCTCAGCCAAAGCATCCCCACCATCCACCCAAAAGGAAGCTAGTCTTATCCACTGCGAGTAAACAATGTTCATTGTATCTGGATCCATATCGAAAGAACTGCTAAATCCTGCTGCAGTAGAAAAAAATGCTATAAATAAGCACCCAAAACTGACCTAACAATTTCTACTCACTCCTACTTCTCCAGGACATTTTTTAAGAGAGAGAGAAGGAAGTGTTCCCTGTAATTTGACTGGCAAAATCATTACCTGACTAATTTCAAAGCCTATACTAGATACCATCGAGTTACGGAATGCCCAGATCAGCAGCAGCTCAACATTATTTTTGCAAAGAAAGGTAATTATATAAAATTTCATTCTCCCAGGCAATAAATTGAGAAGAAAACCATGTAACTTTAAAAATTACTGTATTTGTAGGTTTTTAAATACCAGCACCAAATATTTGTGTTTATTCTGAGCAACATTTAGAAGTTGACATTTCCTAACAATACGGATAAATAAAAGAGTGAATAATAACAGAATAACCTCCAAATAATGCTGCATGTTGATAATCACTAAGTAAAATAATCTGATTGCTCATTCCTAAAGTTATTGTAAGTTTGTCCAGTTTGGAAATCGCATGCCTCACACTGCTCAGCTAATATACCTAACTCCCCCCAAAATGTGTAGAGCTTATTTTATTTTGTGACTAGGCAAAATTAAGTAAAACAACTTGAAAAGATATTTTTTTAAAAGCAAGCTAACACAAAACAACCTATTATTGGAATAGTTTTCTACACTCTTTTCTAAGGAGGAAAAAACTCATCAAACCACAGCATACAGTGCCTGAAGGAGAAATGAGCAGATTCAAAAAGAGCAGTGTCCTTCAAGTCTACACAGCCCTTTATTCCATTACATTTATAGCAATATTGTGATCAACATCGTACGATGTTTCTTATTTCTTCCTCAGACTGCAGCCATTTTTTCCCATTGCATAACAGATTTCAACTCTGCAAATGGTTTAAATCAACTTTCTGCACCTTGAATTTACAAACCACTGAATGCTAAGTTTCCTTAACTATTATATTTTTAAATTTTACTTAAAGCTAAAACTAAATCTAAAACAAAACAAAAACAAAACCACAAAACCCCCAAAGGTTCTTTAAACAGAACCTTGTAGAATACACTAACACAAGGGTTTGAAGATTGTCTACAAAGGGCTATCAAGGGACAACTATTAAGCAACAAATTCTATACCCAACTCTTGTTATAAAATTTCTTTCATAAATAAACTTCTTTCATGATAGATGAAATCAAAAGATGGAGATTTAATCTTCCCCTAATAAGTACTTGCTCAGGGCAGAGGTTGAGTATATTGAAATCATATTGCTTCTTTGAAAGAAGAAAAAATATTTTAGTTAGGCATTCCATTAACAAAAAACCATGCCACATTCACCTCATCTTTTGATCTCTGGGTACTATTATTACTCAAGAGAACCTACTGAAGAAACTGGTTGGCAAATCTACCAAATAGGAATCTCAGGTCCCCTAGTTTTTATAGTCATCTTAGTAAAATAAAACTTGAGCTGTTTGAACAATGGAGCTTGTAAAGTGCATTAGGTATAGAAACACAACGGAAGTGCTAAACTCAGTAAGACTTTAAGGGACTTGTTGTCACCAGTAGGGCAAAAAAACAACATTATGGTTTTCTATTCAGATTTTATTTGAAATCTAATCCAAACTGTCAAAGCTACAAAATGGGGGAAGACATCTGTATTTAGTTTTGCTAAGTCACAGCATCCTAAAACAAAATACTACTACTGCCAGCAGATCCATTGTACACATTTCTGATGAAATTCATCACCACAATAAAAATTTCATCTTGAAAACAGCCACAACGAAAGTAATTTACACAATATAAAACAATGACAGGTCTACAGATGCAGTTACTCATGAGTGTACACATGCGTTCACAGACAAATAAACAAAAACCCCAGGAATGCTCTTTCATTTTTTTTTTTTTTTTAAAAAAAACAGACCATTCAGGCACAAAACAAAATCGCATTTCCAATAAGTGACAGCATCTTAAAGTTTTATGTCAGTGTTTGTTTTTCTTTGACTTTTTATGAGACCTGTGTGGAGATCGGGACTGGGATCTGGATTTCTTCCCTGATTTTTTAGGGGATCTAGACCGTGATCGCCTAGACCTTTTAGGTGTCCTTGAACCAGATGGTGATCTGAGGAAACAAACAAAAACAATTTATCACAGTACTCCTGTGATTAAAACTGACTTGTTAGATTCTCTACAATGAGCTTTAACAACAAAAGTCAGCAAAATACAAGACTGTCAACTTCCCAGATTTATATTTTGCCTACTCTGTGTACATACATACATAATCTCTCTCACACATTTTGAAGTGATTCCTGAGCCTTACCATACTGCTATACTGAGTCAAAATCTCAAGGTAGGGATTGGGGACTTGCAGTTTTAACAAGTTCCCCAAGTTACTGATATACCCCCAAGAGTGAACCTCTAAATCCACAAGATAAAGTTCAAAATGGCACCTAATAACATTCACAAAAGTTTCAACATAAGACAGCTTTGCAGCCTATCTTCTTGAGGGAAAAGGCTCCAACTACTGCAGTATCATTCAAGGGAACCACTTAAGACAGCATAATTTTGTGAGTGCTGTTTGTGTTTATAACCAAAACAAATAAATGCATTTATATGTACATACACACATATACACATGTACTTTTCTATTTTATAAAGATTTTACTAAAAATGCTTACAATAATAAAGTTTTAGCTTTCAAGAAAATAGCACCAAATAAGACATTTCTGAACCACTTTTCTGGAACCACAAGGAAAAAGTATACACAAAATTATACACTGAAGAAATAGTATTTATTTTCATAAATCCTACTCAAGAACTTGCTATTAAGATTGCAAGAGGAATAGGAGGAGATGTATTTTTCTTTCGGCCTTGACAAAAATCAAAGAATATTCTCTAGAAACTAGAGAAGAACACAATGAAAAGTAAAGCAGCTACCGCTCTTTCATAGGAAACACTGGATATGATGTTGAAAGTTCTTCCTGGTCTTTACTTGTTGGAAGCCTTCTTGTGCTTTAGTCATGAGACTGGTATGGGGAGGTGGGAAGGCATAATTTAAAATGAAAGTGTCTCTCTTTGGTTTTCTGAAACCCTTTTAAAAATGGCTACCAACCAAATTATTTTCAAAAGCTGGTGGAATGAAAAGGAAATTGGTATTTGAAATATTGCAAAAAATGACTTGCATTTACCTTTTGGCCTTTTTGCTAACATCTCTAGGAGAATCTTTGTGAGATGACCTGGACCGTGAGCTCTCTTTATGAGATCTTTCTGAACGCTCTGATCGCTCCGATTTTGGTGATGGGGACTTCACTCGTCTACCACTGCTACTGCGAGATGGGCTAGGGGACGTACTGTGTCGCCTTTTCCTATGGAACAAAGCCCCCAAAACAGTCCATACATGAGCAAAGGATCAGGTATTCAATTTCCTTCTACTGAATTAGCTATTAACTCCTACCAGTTTACACTAGTTTTATTTCACTAGCCTTAGTGGTATTGTTTTCCAACAACATACAAAGCCCTTTATACCAAGAACCAATTAAGTCTTAGGGAGAGAATGATCAAGACAAAAAACTGAATTCAACTAAATTGGATTTTCTTTTGCTATAAGAGGGATTACTGAGACAATGGACAAAATTACATTAATGTCTCTAGTCAGGTAAGTTTTTTAATGCTAAACTTTTATTGTGGATTACATAAGAGAAAATGGGGCATCATGTCAGCAAGTTACTCTTAAATGTTTGGGGAAAGGAAGAAGAAAAAAAAGACAATAAGGCAAAAGTAGAAATATTTAACATTTGGGGAACATGGGTGGAGGATATCTGGAAATTCTTTACACTATTCTTGCAACTTTTCTGTAAATCTGAAATTATATCAAAATAATAATAAAAGAGTAATGGATTTACTATTTAACCAATAACTATGCTCTATCTAACTATTTGTAGAGTGACTAAGCCAGAGTTTTTTTTACTTGCATTCACTTGGTTTTTATTAGGAAAAAAAATTAGTTGTTAACAGAAGCAATCTTCTCTATTAAATCAGAGATTTAGGGACTATAAAAATAAAAAATAAAAACTGAAAACAAAGTGATTTTTATTGGAATGCAGACGAAGTGAGGAGTAAGTCCTCATAGTCTATGTACACAATCTACTTTCAAGATAGGACTGGGAGACTCAAGTTTACAGATAGCAAACTCAGCACAAAAGGAATGCTTACATTGGAGTCAACAAGAAAGATCTAGCAAGGTGTTTAGTAATTTAAGCCTTAGGTGTGATACCTAACGTGTTAAATGATTTCTTAGCTAAGGTACCCTATGAACCATGTAAAGGGATGATGTTCCAGTTAACTAAGCCAAGTGCCAACTAACTGTCACATTTCTCAGCTAATTGTGCCTCCTGTAGGTAGGAGCCAAATATGTTTATCATGAAAAAACACTTTTCTAGTTTGTTGGGAAGGTGATGAAAATATTACAAAATGGAACATCATTCTAAATCCTAAAACCAGTATAGGTGCTAAATGGGAAATGTCATACCTTTCTTTCCTTGTTGGAGTACACTCATCTTTTTCCTTCTTGTCTTTAGAGCGAGATTCCAATTTTTCTTTATCCTTCTTATCTCTTTCTCGTTCTCTTTCTAATTCTTTCTCTTTTTCCTGTTTAAAAAAAAAAAAAAAGAATATTTAATCACTAAAAAATACCAATCTGGGTTGATCTCATTTATGCAATAATATTTTCTCTTCTATTGTACTTAACTAATTTTAAATCACTACTGAATATATAATACCATTTTTTAAAATAACACCTACTCTTTCAGAAGAAGTCATTTCTTCTACTTATCTTGCATAATAACAGTGATACCAGAGACAGCTGCTAAATATTTACTGCTTGCCATAGGTCAGCCAGTTACTAAGCAACTTCCGATATACCATTTCATGTATTCCTTCAGAACACCCATAGGAATAGTACTTTTATCCTAGTTCTAGAGATGAAAATTGAGGCTCAGAAAGGTTAAGTACCACACCCATGGTCACACAGAATGAAGTCTGGATTAGAGCTCAAGCTCTAGATCTAATGCTCCTAACTTCTACATGTACAGTGCTGTCCCTCCCTCTACAAAGAAATTGGAAAAAAACTAATAATATGACCTTGCCATCTCAGACTACAATAAAATAGCAGTGCTACTAATTGTACATCAAGTTTATTCAATCAAAAGAGAGCTATCACCAAAGCAATAGGCTGAAAAGGAGAAATTAGTGAGAGACAAGTACCAACTGTACTGGAAATTTTAAATCCTACATTATGAAAGTAAAAACTGACTATGTGACCATACGAGTATATAAACCAGAAAAAAACTTATTTCCTTATCCTCAGGTGCTACAATTGACACTTCTCACTTGAAATTATAATTTCTGTTGATTATATAGTAAAAGGAGTGGCTACAGACAATAACCAGACAATAACCAGGTGACCAGAGCCAACTTAGATCTTTACTAAAAGGAATTTAATTTTCCTTTTACTAAAAGGAATTTTTGATTTGTATGCATCAATAAAGCTATCTCATAGCTGATAAAAAGCCTATACTAGATGTTGGCGACTGTTTCCTGTAAAGAGCCAGAGAGGAAGTATTTTCTGCTTCGCTGGCCATCCGGTCACTGTCAAAAGTATTCATCTCTTTCAGTGGAGATTGGCTGTGATCCCTAAGTTTATTTACAAAAATAAGGTTATGGCTACAGTGTGCTAACCCCTCATAGACACCTTCAAGAAACAGAGCCTCCTCTCCAACTGCAATCTGGAATGCAAGAAGACTAAAATGGTAATTCATGTAGTACTACCACCAGGATCAGTGGGCATCCTGAAGTATAGTCTTCCATAAAGATCAAACATTTGCCACCATTTCCAAAGGGCTGCATGTGGTACAAGATACATAGCATCTTTTTACAAATCTCATTTACCTTTATTCAAAATATATCATATACGGTACAAATTTAAACTGATGCTGAGGGAAATTAACTTCCTCTGGTGATGTGTAGATGTATTTTCCTCATTGAAAATTTACAGAAATCAAACTGTAGTTAAAATACCTAAAATACTGTACACATTTTAATTCAACAATAAAATGTAATAGTAGCTATTATCTAACTCACAATCCTGCAAAATTGGGACTATCAGCCCAGTTTCACAGAGAAAAAGCAGGCTTTACAAGTGCACAACCGAGTGGTCCAAGGAATCCACAGGTCAGTGCAGAGCCAAAGGAGCTTCACCATACTGATGCTCCCAAACACCAGTCCCACACCATTAGCAGCTTTGCAGTAACTGTCATCTCCGTTCTAGCTTTTTCCTACTTCTCTTTCTATATAATCTATTTTATAATAACAGTCAAGATATAACTGTCACAATAAAATTCCTGGGTTCTCCCAACAATTGTCACATGGGCCTCCTTGTTCTAAAACTGTACACCTATATATTTTTTAATGTACAAGAATATCAGGTCCCCCAAAAGTTTAGAGTTCACTGATAAAGGAGGCTACCACTTGCCGTCCCTCCTTGAAAACAATGGAAAGGAGTCCTAAATGAACTTTCTCCACCCTGACTCCATCTTTCGGTCTCCATGCCACTTCTCATGGTTGCTGGTGTCTCACTCTCTCAAATTCTTTTCCTACAGGGTCTTCCAGTTTTGAAAGCATATTCTTAGCAGGATTTTCCTGTTTACAGGTAGTATCTACAATAAAACAATATGCTATGGCCCTAACACTTCCAGGTTAAAATAATTATAAAACATCAAATTTCAAATGTTCCTAATTGTCTATCAGTATCCAGTATTTACACATCCAAGGATGTAATTTGAAATATATTTTCCTTAATACATCAACATACCAATACTCTAGGCAGTCAAACAAGGTAAGTTTGTAAAACACATGTTACTGATATTTAGTTCTTACTCGTTGAAGAAGTTTATCTCTGTAGTGTTCTACTTGTTCCTGAAAGCTCTGGCCTGGTTTCTTAGGTCTTTTTCCAGATTCCAATTCATCCTGAAACTTCATAACTTTGAGCTGTGAAGTAAGAGATAAATTTTTTCAATACTATAGCTTCTCCAGTACTGCTTTGCTCCGTTTTTAAAAAAAAACACCATATGATCTCACTTATATGTTGGACTCTAATGAACAAAATAAACTAACAAACAAGAAAGCAGCAGAGGCATGGATACCTGGAACAGACAGCTGTCAGAATGGATGAAAGAAGGTGAAGTGATTAAGCAAAAATATATATGCATAACCCACAGATACACACAATGGTGTGGTAATGGCCTACAGGAAAGGGGGTTTGGGATAGGTGAAGGTGGACAAAGTGTGTAAAATGGGGATGGAAAGAGACTTTGCGTGGGGCAATGGGCACATGACTGCAGTATGCAGATGATGTTTTATGGAGTTGTATACTGGAAACTTGTACCCCAATAAATTCAATTTAAAAACGTCTTTTTTGCCCTAGCTGGTGTGGATCAGTGGACTGAGCGTGGCCTGTGAATCAAAGGGTCACTGGTTTGATTCCCAGTGTAGAGCATATGCCTGGGGTGCAGGCCAGGTCCCCAGCAGGGGACACGTGTGATGCAACCACACACTGATGGTTTTCTCCCTGTTTCTCCCTCCCATCCCCTCTCTAAAAATAAATAAATAAAATCTTTTTAAAAAAAGTCTTATTTGAAAAAGTGTGTAAAAAGAAAAAACATAAATACAGCAAGGTAGCAACTGGTAAGTACTCGGTCAAAATATCACATCAACATAAAACTCCCTTATGTGAAAGCCACTTACTTGTCAGGCAAGCCCAACTCTGCAGAATTCAAGTGATTAGGCATGGACCCACATGCTCTCTGCACAGTCATGCAACATGACTCAAAAACTGTGGCTGTGGTTCATGCCCTTAAGAACTTATTATCTCAACACAATGATAATAAATTTGGTATCCGGTTACCCAAAGATCTACATTTTAAAATTAGAATTTGATTCACAGTACAAATCCCAAAAAGGTAAGTTGTAAGAGGCAGGCACTATACGAGCAAGAGAAACAATCACAAAGTATATAGCAAAGAAAGGAGAAGCCAGGCTGTCAAAGAGCACAAAGTATGAAAATATGTATAAATAAGGGGTGTGTGCAAACACACACATCACAAAAATACAGAGTATGAAAATAACGTTAAAAAAAACCATTCAAATTAACAAAAAAGCTAAATTACAATTTCTTCTCTTTACACGAATAAAGAATGAAAACATTTGAAAATATCAGTCTGTTTCAACATTTTTAATTATCAAAATATCACTTCAATTATCAGGAAAATATATCTTTAGTGAACTCAGTCTTTGTTTCTACTCCAATAGTTCCATCAGGTCAGTAGGGCAGAGTTCAGTACCGATGGAGGAGTTCTGAGACTTACACATTCTATAAAGAGTGTCAGGAAAAATGAATCAACTTAACTGTGAAATCCCTCCTCTAAACTAATAATTGATACCATATGATTATGGGTAAAATTAAAACAAAATGCTTTCTCTGTTAACTTTTTGACTTGGTGATATCTGAGAAACGGCTGGACAAGAACTTGTACCAGCCCAATAGTGAATAGGTAGAGAAGTAGAAATAAGGTAACCAATGTGGTAGATATTATCAATGAGTAAGAGGACAAGCACGGACACGGACTAGGTATGCAAAATAAAAAAAAAAAAAAGCTGTTAAATGAATGGACAGAGTATTAAAACTCACTAATGTGCACATCTGAGATTCTGTACTGACTACTACACTACTGCTAACATTTACTGGGGCTGTTTCATCACCTTGGGGCAAGGCACAGGGAGGTTCCCATTATAAAACCCTTCTCACTCCTACCTGTCTGAATATCCTTGGTAACAAACAGAGGCATTAGAAAAGGGGGAGGGGTGAGGGATGGAGAGAGGAAAAAAGTTTGCTGGAGACAGTCTGGACTCTCCCGTAAGGTTTTCTCCTCATTATTGTTAAGCCCCACTTAATGTCTACTATCTCCCCATCACTACTAAATAGTATATACACTTAAAATTAGCCTACTATAATAAAATGTGCACATAATTTGAACATGCTAGAAAATGTCTTATTTCCTTAGTTATATATTATGTACACTCAAAATTTAATGGATCTCATAATGCCAGATATAATCTATTCAGAGGATCTCCTATGTGCCACGCACTGGAGATACAATGATAAGCCGAAAATAGACACAGTCCTTTTCCCTCATGGATATCACAGCCTAGTGGGGAATACAGACATTAAACAAGCAAGCAAGCGAGCAATTAAAAAAAACTACAAAACATGATACAGACATCGTAATACATGTAAAATCACAACAGAGATACACAAGGAGAAGAAAATCTGTAAGAGTAAGAAACGGGATACAGGAAGAGAAGGGATGCTTGCACAAAGAGGCCGGAGGGAAGTCAGTTGTTACAGTGGTTTCTAGGCAGAGAGGGAACAGGATGTACCAAGGTGTGATGCCAAGAGGAAGCCTAGTCCAGTAGAAAAAGAGACAGGTCAGTGCAGTTTAAATGTCATTGAAATACTAACCTCGATTTCACGAAGTTTAGCTCGTTTTTCCTCACTCATTTCAGAATACTTAGAGAACTTGGACTCAGTCATTTCTTCTTTGATTGGATTAGAGTACAAATGATGTTCTTCAGACTTGGAACTTTGAGTATCTTCTTCATCTTCACTTTCTTCTTCTTGACTTTGGAAATAAGCATAATACATTGCATGTTAAGGCACCAAAAAAAAAGTTGTATTGTACAGTCTGGCTTAAACTGCTTTAGAGGTTAAATAACATTAACAAAACATAAGAGAACAATTCATCACCAAAACGTTTTTTACAAAATATCTGATCAGGCAACACAGACAATTTTATGAAACTCTTATGTTTCCTCCACAGAAAAATTTTGGGCTTCAGCATAATCATTCCTTTAAAAATTCTGCTTATGTTAATGTTATGTGTGCCTTTCATTCTGCAACAAGCTTTCCTTGCAAGAGTTAAATAAAATCACAGTTCAGAGTGATTTCATTCAGTTTAATGTTTAAAAAAGCCAAGTGTTTACTCTTCCTTCAGCAGAACCTATAAGCTAGAATACACGAATTCGAGGGACACAGAGTTTCTATGAAACAGTGCAGCATGCAAAGACCTTGTTTGATTAGCACAGAACCCTAGGAAATCAAAGGATAAATTTTAAATATTGGCACACACTAATGGTTATGAAAGTTGTGCTGGTTCTATGTCAGATAAAAAGAAAATGATAAAGTGACTACCATGGGTAGGGATACAAAGAAGAACTAGAAACAATCTGGTGGAAACAGACAAGCAGGAAGCTGGTCATCATTGTTAGAATAAGATTTACAAAATGTTCTTTAAGCACAGACCAAATGAAGAGGCTTAAAAGGGAAGGGGCTGTGTGTCCTAGAACTGGCCTTTGTGTGTGCATATGTTAAATCTGGGCAAAACAAGTCATCTGAGTACAAACAAGCTCAGAATGTTTATGTATATAAACAAAATTCCTAATAAACAATATTGTAATTATTAATATTACTGGCTTAGCCTAGTAAATATGCCCTTTCTCTTTAGTATTTGAGCCCGACAAGCTCTTATATGTTGGTATTTGGGTATTAAATACATTCTACATATGGAGTCCTTTTAGTATATAAACAAAACTCAAAACTATCCACAATAACATAAAGACAATATAACCAAATTCCTTCCAAAAAAAAAAAAATCAATTATTTTAGTGTCTGATAATAAGACTCTCACACTGAGCAAAATTTAAGAAAGGCAGATAAAAACAAAGTAATGACAATTTAGAATCAGAAATGACATGATATTAAGACTAGCTTTTTAATTTCTCATCCAAAGGTCCTTTCCAGAACATAACTAAAATGCTTTATCAATTTAATACTCTCAGAGCCTACAAACCATTAGAATCACATATAGGTGCAACTCAATACAATATTTAGGTAAAGAAAAAAAGTCAAAACCAACTATTAAAAAAAATTATTTTTGGAAATAAACCTTTCAATATTTCTAATTAATTTGTCAGAAACTTCCTAAATGCATTTTTAAGTTAACTTTTACAACACTTCCTTGTTTTATGGTGCATAAAATTTTTACAAGCATTTTCGGATGCTTTTAAATGATTATATTGTGTGTGTATGCACGTAAAAGGCAGATGTTTACTGAAGGGTTACTCGGGAAGGGGTCAATCAATAAGGACGTAACACAGTTAATTAAACTGTGGTATCTATGTAATGGAAATACTTAAATTCCAGTGTTATTCATCTGAATGTTTGCTTTTGAACACAGATGACGACAGAGCAGGTAAGTATGTAGAGTGATATGAAATAATACCTATGACACTAGAATGACAAATACAAGTCACAGAAATAGTATGTACAGTACTGTATAATTTGTTTAAAACAGATGTGCCCGTTTTTATATATAAGAGAAAGGATCTAGATGACCAGACATTAAACATTAACCATATTATTAAAACTTCGTATGAGCTATACTACACTTCAATAATTTAAAATACATAATATTTTATAACTGCTATTTTAATTTTTCAAGGCCCAAGCAATGTGTTCTAACTGGTTTTGACTTTAGCTCTTATGGTACCAATTCTGGGTTCAGATCTTATTACATCTTCATCTCGGTATTCTTTAAAGAAATGGAAACTCAAGACTCTAAACATATACAGAATTCATTACAATTTAAGCTATATTATATTTGGGACTTTTCTCCAAAATACTCGTGGTGCTACATATTTTTTAAATCACATTTCTACCACAATACGAAAATTACTAGTTGTAAAAAGCAGTTCCTTAATAAAAAGGCATTTTGGATTCAGCCACTAGAGAGCAGTAGTGAGACATAGGAAAATTTCAAGATTCACTAAGTTGTATGTGAAAAACTATTTTTTCTTCGCTTTGTACTTCCATAAAATTATTTTTATGATTTATTTAGAGCTCCTAGAAAAATCAAATATATAAATTATATTTTCAGTGATCCATGCTTTACTGTATGAATCTATAATTATTCTACTCTCAACACAAATGCATTCACATTCCAAACACTAACACAAATATGAAATTTATGAAAAAAGCCCTGGCTCCTGTGGCTCAGTGGATTGAGCGCTGGCCTGCGAACCAAAGGGTTGCCAGTTCAATCCCCAGTCCGGGCACATGCCTGGGTTCCACACCCGGTTCCCAGTGGGAGGTATATGAGAGGCAACCACACATTGATGCTTCTCTCCCTCTCTCTCTCCCCCTTCCCCTCTGTCTAAAAATAAATTTAAAAAATCCTTTTTTAAAAATCGCAAAAATTTTTTAAAAAATTTATGAAAACAATAGCTTTAAGAACAAAACCAATTGAACAATATTTTAGCTCTGCAATAGCCTGTCAACCCTTACTTTCCCTTAAATGAAATAATCATTTTATGAGTATACATACTCATTCTCAAAGCAGTGACTCCACAATGGTGAGATGCTTATTAATGGGATTATAGATATAAAAAAGGTTAATAAAACCACTGTTTTAAAGCAAACTGAACTGTTCCCAATTCCTATACTCCTCAACAGCCTCAGATAGCTATTTCCATCAGCAAACCACATCTGTATTTTGTAAATATTCTGTCATAACCATTGCTGACTTGCTCTAATCACACCAAGGTTTATGGGAATTACTGTCGCTAACTTTTCCTCATTTATCAAACTATGTTTCCACAAATATTGATCAATGACACTTCCTTAACAATTTAAATGCTACTAATATTCATTTACTGAATCCATACAAATGCCCAAATTCTGCTGGGACACAAAGGTCCCTTTGTTCACTCTTCCATTTGAGAGCCATAAAAGAACAAAGATTCAAAAAAAACGGGAAACTTCTGCTTTGTGCTCTTGATGCCATCTCTTTTCCCATTTAAAAACATTAACATCCTTTGCAACGATTTATAAAGGTGTCAAGTACTACCTAAGAACTACTAATATAAACTTGCAGGAGAATTTGGGAGCAATGATTCCTATAATTACATTTAGTGTTATATGCAAGAAACAATTTTTGGGTGATTAACAAAAAGCAAAATTCAAAATTATAATTTCTTTATTCATTAAGGGAAAAATATTCATTTTAATCTTAGTTCTTTTGAGGTTTTTACATTTAAATCACAGAATGGTCACAATGCAGTATGTGTTTTTCCAGCAATGTACAATCCAGAAGAAAAGAAGCACAATCTTGCCATTCACATTTTAATAATCACTTTCTCTGAAGCCAAAACAAAGATTTAAAATAAATGCAGGTGACCGTTTAGTAACTACAAAGTGAGAATGTAATACTTAAACTCAAAAGCAAAGTGTAACCAGATGTAGCAAGACCAGAAACCTAAAGCTCTTTATTCACTGGGAAAACAATGAAAACCTAAAAATGATCCTCTTAAGTTTTTTTTACTGAGGTTTTCCTCTTCACTATTATTTCAAGTACTTTTTAATGAAAAAGGGAGCACATATGCAATAAGAAGCTAAGTATATTCAAAACTTAGATTCTTACTTTTGATTTTCTTCTTCTTCTGATTCTTCATGCTGGTCAAATAACTCCCATTTAGAAGTTGTTACAGCTGAATGGAAGGGAAAAAAAGATGTAATTCCATAAGGTAAATTAGCATTTTTGCAGAAGCATAGTAGAAACCCAGCTTTAGAACTGAAATTTTATATTACAGAGGTTATCTACCTTTATCCATTCTTTCTGAATGGCCATTTCTATGCTAAATCTATTTCTTTCCTCTTCAAACATACACTATAACTTTATTCAAATTCACGAAGTGACAAATAATGTTACCCTTATTTCTGTGCTAGAAGATTAAGATTTATTTCATTAGGACCTGCAAATATTAACAATTTCAGACTATAAACCACTAGGATACATGTCCAAGCAAGCATGAAAGGCAGGTCTAATAAGCACTATGGGAGGGGTCAAAGCTTGGTTTCTCTGAAACTGACCTCTAAGTAAATTTCCAAATAGTCTCCTATCTACACTTTCTACTGACATGCCTTAACTTGAAAGGTCTTTAGTGATTTCTCTAATTACTCTCAAAGCATAAAAACTAAAAGATCTAAGGAAATTATAACAGCAACCACAATGAAAACTTAGCCACTAGACATAAAATATGGTTAACACTGGGTCCTAAGGTTGAAACTTTTGTAAGACACAAAAGGAAAACACACACAAAATACACAAGCATACCCCAATGATTAATTTTAAGTACTGAGTTTTCTAAAGCTCAGTATTTGTTTGTACTCACCCTGTGCTTCCAATTCAGATTCATCTACAGCTTCCCATTTTGAAGGGGCAACTTTAAATATAGGTTCATTCTTCTTTGAGTCTTCAGTCGCATCCACTATTGAGGAAAGATAAGCCATTAATCCTCACTTTTAGGGAATGAACTAAATTGAAGACTTTATAAGTATTTACTGTATCAGCAATTTTCAACCAGTGTGTTGTAAGAATTTTTAGAACATACAATACCTGACTACTTAGTGAGGGGGGCCCACTTCGTTTCCCTCAGATTATAAAATAAAAAAATGACAACAGCCAACAAAGAACAGCTGTCCAGTGTGAATGAATCAAAACTATACCTACTTTTTGGTCAGATCAGAAAAAATATACTTTGGTGTGCCCCAGAATTTTGGTAATTAGTTTATGTGTGCCATGAGATGAAAAGGTTGAAAACTGCTGCACTATACTATTAAAAGTAAAATAAGGCCACACATGAACCAATAGTTCTAGGGCCAAAACAAGGATTACAACTAATCTAATTCTCTGCTTCAGAAATCCAATTTTTAAATAGCATATAAATCAACTCAGACACATAGGTTGTTATTATTTCAATCAAATGGAGAAGGAACTAAAAGAATCTTTACTACCTTTACGTAATTACTGTTGAAACCATGTATTTCAGATACTGTTCAGTATCTTAATATAATTCAAATGTAATGATGATTGTGTTTAATTCTTATTTCCAAAACTTATTTTAGGAAGCTAGAAAAACTGAACCTATTAGTGAGGAAGACTAATAATAAAAACTGAACTGATTAAACCAGTCACCTGGGATTATGAATACAACTGAGCACAAAATTTGCCTATAGTTTCCTTACAATTAATACAAAAAGAGAAATTTGTTCATATAAAAGGCTAACTGTTCCAACAAAGAAATGTGACCAGAAAGAAAACCTTTTTCTTGACACAGTTAATTGTATTACTGGATATATGAATTTTGAAAAGGCAGAAATAAAAAACAGAAAAAAGTTAATGACTGACACCCTAATTTGGTATTATAATCTTTCTCCCTATTAGTTTGTGTAGAAATTCAAGTTTTGGAGTCAAACTCATTAGATAGATTTAATTAGTCTGAAATCTGAACTCACAAGGTACTCCATCAAGATCATCATCAAAATTCTTTATAGGGACTCCATCAAGATCATCAATGGGAGTAGCATCAATAGGAATTCCATCCACATCTTCTAAAGGTGCACCATCAAGCTCTTCCTCAATAGGGGCACCATCAAGGTCATCTGGTACATCCTGTAGAAACACACATATTACAGTATTGTAACATTTTCTTTAACTTGCTGAAGTCATATTGCTAAAGATTAATCTGCAATCCAGTACGAACCAACCAACAGGATACCCACATTCCCAGGTCCAATGTGATAACATAATATTTTATCTCCAGTCTGACAAAGAAGCAGCAGTCATTTGTGCCTTATTTATCAAGTATTTACCAACTGCTTACTGATGCCAGGCACTACGTGAGGCATAAGGATACAATGATGAGTAAAAATACGTTTGGTCCCTTGGTCCCTTCTGTCATAGAAGCTTACAATTTGGAGGTAAAGGGGAGCCAGGCAAACAAATAATCATAGCAGTATACATATGACTGCAATTAGGATGACTGCTGTAACAAGGCGAATACTACTGATATCATAGGATACCACACTATTAAGAGTATATAATACATAGGTATATATAAACAAGTAGATTTCACCTATAGAGGTTCGAGAAGGCTATGAAGTTATGCTTAAACTGAGGCCCGAAGGATCTCAAGTAAAGAAAAGGTGTTCCAGAAAGAGGGGGAAACATGTACAAAGGTCTATGGTAGGAGGAAACATTGTACATCTAAGAAACTGAAACAAGGACCATGTGGTTGGAACAGGGAGGCCCATTAGGAGAATACTGTAAGAATGAAAGTAAAAATATGATGGCTGGGTTAGAAATATAGAAATAAAGATGGAGAATTCAAGAGGTGAGGAGGTAAAAAACACAAAATGGTGATGAACAGAATCTGCTATCATTGTGGTACATCACTTCATGTATATATTTATTATATAGGTATCTTTAACAAAGTGAAATCGTGCTATATAAATTGCTCTATTACTTGTTTTTTTCTATTAAAATACTATGAATCTTTTCATGTCATCAAATAAAAAACTAGTCACCAATTTTCACATAAGGACACAAAACAGAATTCCTGTTACATGTAATTTCAACTCCTGGATTCTAGCAATTACAGTAACAAAACCCACCACTTAGTGGTGAAGAGTAAGTATTTTCACAAAGAAATGCTATACCTTTAACATCACACCTCCACAGCATCCCCAGAAACAAATTTTAAAATAGTAAGACAAGGCCCTGACCAGGTAACTCGGTCAGAACATTGTTCTGGTAACGCCAAGTTTGCGGATTCAATCCCCAGTCAGGGCACATACAAGAATAAACCAATGAATATGCATAAAAGTAGAATAACAAGTCTATCTTTTTCTCTCTATCCCCCTTCCTCCCTCTCTCTCTCTCAAATCAATACATAAAAATCTTTCAAATCAATACATAAAAATAAATTAATTAATCAGACAAATACACTGAGTGCCTACCTCTGTTTCCTTTTCTTCAATAATATTTACAAGTCCTAAGAAAATATTTTGTAATTTGATCAAAAATGGTTCTGGATAAATTGCCCAGTCTTCCCATGCTCTGAAGCATGTCATTACCCGTTGCTAAATGAATAGGAAAAAGACAATAAATTATTATTTAGGACAATATGTCTCAAACTTCATCATATGAGAATGAACATCACAATTTGCTAAATTTTTCTTTAAACCAACATTTTTAAAATTTAAAGATAATAACTATCATTGCCATGTTTTTAAAGAAATCAACGTCACCTTTTAATTTAAAAAAAAAACTCAAAATAAGTATAATGAAAAAGAAACAATTACTATTTACTCTTGATAACCTAAGACCAACATATATACTAGTGGTGCACACACACTAGCTTAAAAATGTATAAAAGCTGGATATCAAAGTAGGCAAGTTTTGACCCAAATTCCTTTATGATCTAATGAAGTACTTCCTAATTCTGGCTAACACTTTTTTCTCTCCCATTCCTAAGCTTCTCTATATAAACTCTACTTATGATCAACATTTAAGGTCAAAACAATTTTAAGTGGAGTTGTTTGTTTGAATCCCCTAAATGATCAGGTCACTGTGCATCTTCACAAGCTAAAAAATTTCCTTACAAAAATTTTCTTCGCATGACAGTGTATCCACTCAATTATGAGATTTTTTTGTTTGGCTTTTCTTAACATTGGTTTGCAGCTTAAGGTTATTAAAAAAAAAAAAAATAATGCATATACTTTATAAACCTGAATAACTAAAATGTATGTTCCTAATCCAGCCAAATTACATAAGTCATGGACTGCTTAACAACAGGGATACATTCTGAGAAATTCATCATTAGGCAATAACCACTGTGCAAACATCAAGACAGTGCACATACATACACCTGGATGGTACAGCTACTGCACCCCTAGGCTCTATGGTGCAGCCTCCTGCTCCTGGGCTGCAAGCCTGTACAGCATGTTACTGCACAAAACACAAGATTAAACCAAGCACAAGAGAAAATGATATTCAAGAGACTTATGAGGCTGCTGCCAGGCACTACAACATACTATTTTACAGCAAATATTTTTTTAAATAAAAAGAATACGCTTTAAAATAATGATAAAAGTACAGTAAATATATAAACGAGTAAGTCATTTCTTATCAAGTATTATGGAATATACATAATTGTATGTATATACCATACTTTTATATGACTGACAGCAAAGTAGGTTGGTTTACACTAGCATCATTACAAACATGTGAAAATGCATTGCATTATGACGTTATGATGGCTACAATGTCACTAGGCTAGGAATTTTTCAGCTCCATTATCTTAAGGAACCATCGCCACCGCTACGTGCTTCATTACTATATGCCATTATAAAACAAGTGAACTTCTGAATGTGTTTTGTGAAAAGAGAAGACATTCTATTTAAATAAAATACTTCAAACTAAAAAAAAACACTCAACAAAAGAACACTAGGTTATTTTTAAATTTCAGGTGTTTTTTGATAATGAAGGTAACATTGGAGTAAATTTTAGAATAATTTCTGAAACACCTAAGTTATATTTATACTTGTTGTATGTACTTTCCTAGACCTCCAATGTGCTTCCCAGCCCGCAGCCCCTATATGCAAAAATAATAAAACGGTAAACATACCTTAAAGTTTTCAGATTGTAAATGGCCTTGAATAGTACGATAGGTAGCATTGAGGTCTGAAAATATCTGACACAACTTTGTTTCAAAACTGAAATTGAAATAATATATTCTTTACAATAGAATTTGTTTAAAAATCCTTATCTACTTCAGCATGCTAGTCAAACCCCTCCTGGACTTAATAAAAATTACAAATAAAGTAAGTAATCTTTTTTAAAAAAAATCAAGAACTAAAAAATTCTGAAACTGTAATTGAACTGCTTTAACTCAGATAATTCTGAATTTTTCTCCTGTAAAATCCCCAGAAGGGTCTTAAGTAGTAGTTCCCTGGATTAATAAGAAACTTACATCTAAGGACACTCTTAGCCATTTAGTCTGATCTCTTTTTGTTTTACAAAGAACGAAAAAAAAAGATAAGTGACTTTTCCAAGGCAAAAAAACTAATCACAGAGCTAAAATTAGTATCTGCACCTCCAAATGACCTTTCAGAGTCAACTACTAGAGAAAAACTTCTTTAATCAATAAAATAAACATCAAAAAGGAACTCTTGGGAACTACAGAAGGGTTATATATTAATTACAGTAGAGCAACATAGTTTCCTATTGTGTGGGGACCCATTAACAATGAACTGCAACAATGCAATGATGATCAGAAGAAAACATATATTCTCTTCCTTTATGTCTGCTATTATTTACAGTTTCAGTTTATCATACAAGTGGCTAGTTATTCAGTAAAAGCACAGTTACTGCTAATTTAAAGTGGTTTAGCTCAATGAACTCAGTCCAATTTTTTTAGAAAATCCTACGACTACAAAGAAATTCAAATTAACCCTTATTATTGGAGTGTTAACAAAACAATCCTCTCTTCTGAACTCCTTACCCTTAAATAATTTCAGGAATACCACTTTACAATATTATACTTACAATTTTCTGTAATATGAAGCATTGGCAACTTTTGCTGAAGAGTTGTACAAAACATCAGAAACCAAATATAATCTGGCAATCTAGAATTCCAAAAGATAACATAAAACTGATTAAAAATAAAATCCATGAGTAAACAATGTATCTAGAAAAAAATTTACATACTGATTTTTTTGGAATCAGTGTCACAGGCTAATTTTATTTATAATTTAATAATCAAGACTGATTAGAATACTTGTAGGAAATTCAGTATCAACACAACCATGGTTGCAGGGATAAAATTTGTCACTCATTTACATCTCAACCCGTTGATAACTTGTGTGTTGATTAACATAACAAGACTGTATAGGAAAGATTTCTTCAGTCAAGTTCTTCATGTAAAAAGGAAACCAATCTCAATCCAAAAAGTCAACTATTATTTCCCTTTTACTTAATTAAATGTTCTATAAAGAAAAATCATTCCCATACCTTTTTGGGAAGGGGTGTCTTTAAGATAGACAATGACTCAGTAATGCAATCCACTATTTCTTCAGCAGCTTCAGCATTATTCAGACAAAACACCATGGCATCTCCAATATCATTCTTCCTTGGAGTTAAGCCCCGCAGGATTTCTTCTAATTTGTCCCTCTGTCTAAATACAAATTTTGTAAACTTGTAAATATTTTTAAATATAAATTTCAAATGTCGTCATAGTGTCTGCTCATAAACTAATTTCTCTAAAACCCCAACAGTGAAATAATTCTGATGATTAAATTGTGTTAAAACTGATTTGTAGTAAGTCCCCCAAACAGGTTACATTTGTTGAAGAACTTATATGAGGAAGAATAATTTTCCTAGATCTTGGCCTTCTCCCTCCTTTCTCCTCCAGAGTGGCTGTGACTGCCTGGTACCTCCAGCCCATCTAATGAGCCAGGGTCCTAGGTAGGCAAACTTCCGTGTACACTTCAGATGCACAACCTTGAGGGCAGCAGGAACCACCATTCACTTTTTCATGGCACAGGGTGAAGGGGTCCCATCACACACCTTGAGGAGGCCAGAGATGCCTGGCCTCACTCAGCCTTGTGGGGTAGCATGCCTTTCAGTCTGCCAAAAGGTACGGCTAGCAGCTGGGAAGTGGCAGGATCGCGGGATGGGTTGTTGTTCATCTGCTTGCAGCGGATGGCCAGGTACTTCAACTTGTTTCTACAGAAACTGCCAGAAATGCTGATGCCCTGACAACATACAACCATCACCTTCTGGCTCAGCAGTACCTGCACAATGGCCACTAGACACCCAGGAGATGGCCCGGGCCATCAAGCACTAGAACCTGCCTCTCTGCCATCATCAGCAGTCACTTGGGAAAAGATGTTTCTGCTTCTTAAATTAGGTGAACTGCACTATACCAGGGCTGACTGAGTCCTAATAACTTCACATCCATGGTGGCCACAAATGGCAAACTATGGAGAGGCTTTAAACAGTCAACCATCTGACCTCACTGAGCCATACAATAGGTTTTCCTCTTTAGGTTGCATTCAGAGAGACAAGAATTCTAAGACTCTTGAGATAATTTCTGTAAGAATCTGAAGTATTCCACTGCCAGAGAATCACTGCTTAAAAGAGTATCACTAATTTTATCAGTAGGAAGAGGTCAAGGTCCATAGAGCAGACATTTATACTTGCTAAGAGGTTTAAAATCACAAAGCATACGATGAGGTGCTACCATTTTAAACACATGTAAAAAAATTTATTTAAGGTTAACATCTTAGTAAGACCATTAATCAAAGCAACCATTAAATCAACTTTTCCGTATATGTAACAGAAAAGGGAAAAAATCTTACTCTTCCTTAAGTGCTCCCTTTTTACTAGGCTCCTCTACAAAAGCTTCTGTTTCTTGTTCTTCTGACATCCCATGCAGGTATGGATTTAATGGTGGTGGCCTCCAAAAAGATCCGTTTTTGAACATACGAAAATCTTCTGTCCGCCACTTAGTTGGAGAATCTCCCTAATAAATACCCAGAATGTTATCAGAAAGCTCCAATATCTCAGTCAAAATTAACAAAGTAATTGATTCTACTTGCCTGCAGAATAGAGTAAAGCTTCCACCTATAGTAAACATGGGCTGGTGTCTGGTTTTCAAATAAGAATCTAAAATAAAACAAATGAAACATCATATTCTTTAACAAAGAACTGTATTCAGGTAAATATAAACAAATGAGAAATATTATTTGCCTACTTAGTTCTAAATAAAACCAAAAGCAAAGACTGCTGAAGAGAAATCCTTACTCATGCCATGTGCTATCTATGCCACCCCTCACCCCAGCCTCAAACTGCCTTCGTGACTAGGAAAGGTATGTATGTATCTTGCTGAGTCTCACCATTTTATTGAACACTCATGTGTCAGATACTGTGTCTGACAAGAGATATTCCCAAGGTATAATTTCAAAGAGTGGTTTTTAAACTACTTAAGAGTGTTAAATGAATGTCTTAGATAGCATATCTATTCAGAAGAAATCAATTTCCTATAAATCTTATTTGTTCTTCTGTATCTCACTTAAGACTCTTTCACTGAAAAGCATAATGAAATGTATTTTCCTCCTACAGAATGCTAAAAACAATACTATTTAATTAACTAAGTCAAGATGAGATGGAAAACTGACCAAAGATGATTCTAGTCCAATTACTAAAATTGCCTTCTCAGCCCACTGCAAAATAACCTGAAACTTTTAGAACTTTACTCTTGGAAATATTTGTAGTTCCAAAAATGAAGCAGTAAGTATTTTTAAAACTCATATCTGATGTTAAATGAAATGTGGCACATCCATGCAATGAAATGTTAGACTTAAAAGTAGTAAAATTTTGACAAATGCTACAACATGGATGACCCTTGAAGACATTATGCTAAGCGAAATAAGTCAGTCACAAAAGTACAAATACTATGTAATTCCGACTTATATGCGGCACCTAATCAAATTCAAAGGACAGAGTAGAATGGTGATTGCCAGGAGCTGGAGGACCAAGAGAATGGGCAGTTGTTGGTTAAGCAGGACAACGTTTCAGTTACAGGAGATGGAAAAAGTTCTGGAAAAGGACAGTGGTGACGGCTACACAACAATGTGAACATACGTAAAGCCACTGAACTGTACACATAAAAATGGTAAATTTTATACAAGTATTTTATCACATTAAAAAAAAATGCACACCTGAACATGGGATTGTTGATTTCTCTGTTCATAATCATAGCTTCAAACATTGGCCCTTCACGTACAACAAATTCTATCATTCGATGTATCAGGGCGAGCAAATTCCTACAACAACAACACAGTTAAAGAAAATGGATTCAGACCTACCACTATACAAAACTACACTTGACCTAAGTTACTACATTGTGCAGAAAAAAATTATTCTGCTGACTAATAGAGAATTTTATACCAAAAAGTAACCTGGAGCATTTGTTAATGCCTTGTGCATTACGAGGGAGTGGGACAGCGGGGACGGGGAGTGGGAGGGGGAGGAAAGGTGAAGGGAGGGTGGAAAATCACAACAGCGTCATAGTAATAAAGATTTAATTTTCTAAATGCCACTTAATTTCATTTTCCAAATGCAAAACATTAAATTATGAATCACAACTAATTAGAAAGCTGCAAGTATGTATCAGTAACTTAGAGCTTACATGTTAACACAGCCATCTAAAAATGTATACACTATCTCAGTTTTAAAACATTACTAAACCAAGCACCTTTGTGGTGGTATTGAAATGTTATACACATGACTATCATTTATAAAAAAATGCAAAACCATTTAACAAATATAAGGCCTGACCTAATAAAAAATCCATCCAACTCCTGTGATTTTCTGGTACACATATAGCAGATGGAGTTTTCATTAAATCTGACCTTTAATGAGGCAACATCCCTTTGGACCACAATTCAAACTTGTAACATCACACAATCCGTGACGTGTATAATTCTATTTGTGTATTATGAATCTATGCAGCAATTATATTGCCACAACCTTAAATACATGGAGTACTCTTTCCAAAATATCCCAAAATAAGGGACATGGTGGGATACCCTTCACATTTTTCATAACAATTACTTTTCTGTATTTAAGCCAAAAATAAACATGTAACTTTTTAATACATTTTTTATGAGTTAGGCTCATAGAAAATCTTTATTTTTAAAATCTGAAGCTGGGTCCTAAAACCTTATGATACCTTATTAGACTCCAAACAGAATTTTAGAAATTGATTATGATGTCAGGCAAAATAACTCAACTTATTGTAAGCTGTTTTTTATTTTTCATTTCACCAGTACCCCAGCATAGAGTTGGCAAATAGTAATTGGGAAAAGCAAAAGGATATTGGCTCTTGTACAAGGCACACACTAAATTACACCTTTAGCATTCTCAGATCAAATCAAGAAATTAAGTTTATGTAACTGCTAGAATATAAATATATAGTTATAGAATAAGACAGATTTTTTTGGCTCTAGAATGCCTGCTTCAGAGTACATGAACAGTGAAATAGTTTATCTCATCATGATTATAATTATTTTCTCACAGTTTTCAAACAAACCTACTTAAAGTGGACACTAAAATCTCTACAAAGAGGGAAAAAAAAGAATTTTTTGACTACCTAAAGGGTCCTAAAGAGGTAAAAAAAATTCTATGAAGGTTTAAATCTTTACAAAGGGGAAACTACATATTTAAAAACTGACTCAACTTCAAATTGTTAAAACAAAAAGCTAAAAAAACATTACTTAATTTTAAATCTAAAATTTATTTTTCTTTTACAGAAGAATTAACTGCTCTGCAAATTTGCAGTTCTTGATATTCAAATGAGAATGAATGTATTCTCAGATCCAGAGTTAATGATATTATTTTGAAGGAAAGGACATAGTGTGAAGTTATACCTCAGATGCAAAATTCCTACTGGTATGTATCAAATTAAAGTGAAGGGAAATTTTATGTATCATAATATATAAAATCAACTTCTAGGTGGGTAAAAGCTATACATTCAGAAACTTGCCATGAATTAAGTCAAAAGCAATTTGATTTAGGTATTAAAGATAGATTAAAAAAATGGTTTAGCAAGTTTAAAAGGATTAATTCTAATGGTGAATCAACTTTTTAGCAAAATGTACTCAAAATCTGTTTAGAAAGAAACTGAGCCACATGTAAAGGTACTATACTTGATATGTGTTTTGAATGCTACAAAATATTTTCCTGTGAATGATTTATCAGTAGAAGAAAAAAAACCCACTACAGTTTTAAACAGGCTTGAAACTAATAAAATCTATTTTTAGAAAATTTAAAGTTTAAAAGAAATTTTAAAATGTTGCATATGATTATTTAAAATCAGAATCTGACAATTAGTGTTGCTAACTTGAATTCAACATTATTAAATAAATGTTATCTCACACTTTTTCCTTAAGGATTGTGTTTCTTATTTTAAAAAGGGTGACTTTTCTATCAGAATGAAAACAGTGTAGTACAAAAAGGTGACATTTAAAGTGTACTATTTTATTTTAAAATGGTAATTATCTTATTCTGGGCAACAACAACAAAAAAAAATGTTTCTCAGTTATAATAAAACCACATTTACTGGAGTCGATCGTACCAATGTCTGGTCAAAAACTGTATACTTTCCCAATCCATCCCATGATGTTTTCCTGGTCCCCCGCTGCCGCAGACAGTTCAGCTGGTGTTGCTCACCAAGGCCAATGTCAAAGAGAATTTGGTATTCTTTTGTGTTCATTTATTATTCAACCAGTGTTGTGTTCCTGTGTTTGGGAAAAGGCTTAGCTTGACTGAGCAAGAGCATACCTACAGCATGAATTCTTCTGCTTCAACATCATGTTGGGAAAAAAAAGGAAAATAAAAGAATTCCAAACACCTTTGTTATCATTTTTAAAAGTTTCTAATATGTTCAGTGTTCATAAAAGTAAAAATTCCTTAATCAGAAAAAAGCAAAGCTATGCCTTCAAGAAGGAAACCAGACTAAGGTTGCATATTAAACACAGACAATTCAGAAACAAAGAAAAAAATAACAGATTGGGTCAAACTATAACATTATCTAAAATTTAAGGTACATTTAAAATGCTTATTTCCCCATCACAATAATCTAGTACAATTAGACTAACAAACACCAGATTAAATCTATTAATAAACACATTCTAACTACTAGAGCTATAAAATTCCCTACAATGGTGACAATAAAAACAAAAACAGATAATGACATAAAATTGCACAGTATACTAAAGTTAGTTAGATTTCAAATATCCCCCAAAAAAGTACTGGGAAGGAACCATTGCTCAGTCAAGATATCACCTTTTCCTCAACACCATTTTTTTTTAATTCAGAAGGGGATATTGTCTATATTTAGATCAGTAATAATAAAGAAAAACATGTACCTTTCTGTTGGGATAACCACTTTGACTATGGCTTGCGACAGAGTCTGTATATGAAGTCACATCAGATAATAAACATAGAATATGTGAGTATTGTTAACAAGTAACAGGCAAAAATATACATATGCATTGAAAATACTACACATCTAATCACAAGTTTTGCAGGCAATCACTGCTTTTGAAGTAATTATACACTAAGCAATTACATAAAAGCAAAATGTATGTGTCCAGTGAACAATAAATGTTCACCAAATGCAAAGAATCAGAACATTCCTGCCAGAATGCACATCAATGCACTGAAATAGGTACTACACTGAGAATTATCAGATAAAGATTTTAATTTGTGAAATAATTAACTGTTTGCTTCTGACCATAATACAGTTTGCTACTTTGTTCCCAAGCCTTTAAAACCAGCCCTGACATTTGGTGTAATTAATTCATTAATTTATAATGCAACCAACAAATTCTTATAACTTGAAATTAAGTTGGTTTTATGTTTAATAAAAAGAAAATACTCACCCTTTGCTTTACTAGAGTAGTTAATGCTTTTTTAAAAACCACATAAGCTCTCAAATATTCTAATACCTCAGATCTTGAGAACTAAGTTAGCTGGCTATCATCCAAACAGTTTAACTATTTAGGAGGTCTTTCTAACTGAAAAGTCACTTAACTAAATACAAAATTATCACTTTCTCAGAATAAAGTAAATTTAGATACTGTACTTAAGCAAACCAGGATACAACAGTGGATAAATGGGGGAGAGGGGAACTTAATTAAGTGGTCAAAAAGGAATGGTAGCCACAATAATAAGACCTAGTATTTCAAACAGGGTTTCCATGGGCTAAGGCAGGGAACACATCTACTTAAGAGTTGCCAAACAGAATTACATTATTTTCTATAAAATTGTTGAAAAGAAATACTACCACAGATTTAGTATTTACAAATATATGCGGCCCTATGTACATTTTTAAAATTACCTTCTCAAAATCCTCCTTGTTTTTAGGTGGTGGTAACATGGGAGCATTGGGGTTTTTTAACCGCTCTCTAGGCTGCGCATTAAAAGGCAGTCCTGATGGAGGTGGGGGAAGCGTATGTTCCATCATAGAAGGCGGAATGTATATTGGATGTGGAGGAATAGGCACAGCTTTACCCCAACCTAACTTCATTTCAAAAGACATAATCATCTTTCCTAGAAGAAAGAAAAGAACGTTACCTTGGTAATAACTCACAAAGGAAAATAAAAGATTTCTGGGATTTTAATTTTTAACCTTTCCATTTCTGTCCACTTTTTTCCCCCCTTCTCTACGGTTTTTATAAATACTGTCCAGAACCCCCCCCCCCAAAAAAAGTGTTTGATTTCTATAAATGAATGATAATTTTCTTACCATTTAAATTTTTTAAAGCTCTTTCAGCATCTCTTCTATTCATAAAGGCCACAAAGCCACAATTTCTCTCTCTCGCTCTTTCTTCATCAGTTCTAGGCCACATAATTTTCACACTGGCTAATGGTCCAAATCTTCCAAATTCTTGGCACAGCATTTCTTCATTCATCTATTAAAAATCATAAGAGTTTTTTGTATGCAAAAAAAAAAAAAAAAGAGAGAGAGAAAACAATTTTATCCAACAAAAAGCAAAGTAGTTTTTGCAAAATGAAAAGAGACGTATTAATGCTAGATTTTCCCGTTCAAGTACTAGGCCCTCTGAACAAATAAAACCCTGCCCTCATGGGGCATTCACAAATCTTTTCATACCAGAAACACATTATTTTATGTAAACTAGTAGCCAGGGTGAAGGGGCTGGTGGCTGGAGAAATCAAAAGCACATCTTTATTTCCCCTCATCCTCCTTTGGAGATCCTTCATCTAAAACAAGTCTGTTTAGGCATTTAGTGATTATTTTCAGGCAGCAGTAATGACCACATTTCCTTAACATTTAAGTTAAGGAAATATTTGTTGTTAATAAAAGAAAAAAACAGAATCTAATCACCTTTTCTTTTTCCAGCACCAAGCTACCAGTGTAATCAAGAAAAAACACTAAATATGCAGTAAAGCCAAAAATACATATACTTTTTAAAAAGAGTGTACTATGAGCCCTGATTGATTAGAGCATCCTCCTGATATGCCAAGGTTACAGGTTTGATCTCTGGTCATGGCACATACAAGATGCAACCAATGAATTTTCATAAACTAGAAGAACAAATTGATGTTTCTATCTCTCCCCCAACTCTAAAATCAATTAAAAAAATTTTTTTTAAATTAAAAGTAAAAAAAGATTTAAAAGAGTATACTACGTATAATAACCACATTCCCTGAAACACAAATAATGTGAGGAAAAGACTTTTAATAATATAAAAGACAAAAAGTGCAAATACTAGTTTGTCTTTATGGGATGGGAGGAGGGGAAAGGTGAAGGAAATCCATAAGGAAGCAAGCTATGCATCAGAAGAAGGTAGTCTCAAAAGACATTCACCATTGGCCATATCCTCATGCAATAAATAATAAAATCAGCACCTAGTAAAACTGTTCAAATTCAGAGTATATATACTGCTGTTACAGAAAGAGGAGACAAGCCCCTCAGAAGTATTACAAGACAATTTGGCCCATACCAGCAAAAAACTTTAGAGACTCTCTAGTTCCATCAAATTTGCTTACTTTAGATTCTTGACTTTACTGATTTTACTGATTGACAAAGCAGTTTTCTTCAAAAAGTATAAAGCATATAAGCCAACATTCATCTTACTTTTCTAATATTACCTGTGGATTAATGTTTCCAAGGTATAAATTAGTAGTGCTTGGATCTCCCACGTCATGTGACCCAGGTGCATAATCATCAAGAACTAAAGCAAAGAGAAAAAAAATTATACCCTGAAAAATACAAAGTCTAGATAATTTCTATTAAATAAAAAAGCAAAAAACTGTATTACCACCAGATGATCTATTTCTTCTTGAAGGCGCATCCACTTTAAAAAAAAAGAAAACAATTCTTAGTTTTTAGAATAGTTAATCACAAACGTAAACATTAAAACAAACGTCACTTACTGGAACGCCGCTGACCATCAGAATCTGACTGAGGCGGCTCAAATCGACTTAACCTGCCTTTTGTTTTATGTCTCTCATCACGCTCCTCTTGAATTCTGTTAAAAATATTTACAATCACTAATAATGAGCCAAAATTTATTTGTTCACATTTAATAAAAATAGAATTTATCCAGGTATCCTCTTCAAATAAGATTAGAGTCCCTCAGCTACAAGAGAATTATGAGAAAATTTCTGATATAGCATACAATCAATGAAATACAAAGCCCACTTTTAAAGGTGAGGAAGAAATTCAACATTAAAACCCAGAATTTTTTTTTTCTTGGCTAAGTTCAACCTTTCCTCTCCCCTACACTTCAGTAACTATATTGTTTCCACTGCAAACAGGACTCCGGCCATTAATCAATTCAATTGCATCTACTTAATACAAGCAAACTAGATGCTGGATGAAATGCTAATACACTTTCAAACATACCCCACAAAATACCTGTATAATATCTAAAAAATACTTCACAATAAGCCAGTTAGTAGTAACTACCTGGTATGCTCCATTCTTCATACCTGCCATCTGTAAGTATCAGCTGAGTATACCTCTGATAGCCATTCTCAGCACTAGAAAACTTACTGTTTCAATTCTTCTTTGAAGAGTTCCAAATTGCTTTTTTTCTTTTCTTTCTCCCCTTTCTTCAGTGGCTATGAAGGATATGACAAGTTATACTTCAAACAAAATAAGGGTAAACAAAACTAGTGGTTCAATAATCATTTTAAATAGTTTTTATTTTAGTGCCAATTATGTTCTGATTACTTAAATTAGAATGAATGCTTCTGTCACCAGTTTCCCTTCCTGTTCTCTCAAACTAAGAATTTAACAATTTTAAAAACAATTAAACAAAATAACAACCAGCAGTCTTAAAGGAGCCACTAACATTATCCTCCCAAAGCCTGCGATACTTAGGACTGAATACTATTGTTGGTGGAAACAGGGACAAAATTAATGAACTTATAAAGTAACTGAACTACCATGTAAAGTAACTGTCATGAACAACTACCAAAAATATACACTCTTCAAAACAACATCCTTGGAGGGATAATCACTGAAACAATCAGTAACATCTTTGGAATTTCTTTTAGAAAACTACTTTCCAAAACTTTTTGGAATAACCTTTTAAAAGAGCCAAAATAACTCAAAGGAGAAGGAATGGTACTAGGACAACTGAATACCCACATGTAAAAAAGAATGAAGTTGGAACTTCACACCATACAGGGCAGACAAAGGTAGGTTACAATTGTAATGCAAACAAATAATACAATAATTAATAAATAATAATACAAGAATAAACTGTTTCACATACTCACAACCACAAACCTACTTTTGCCTATCCCTGTATAAAAAATATTCACTCAAGTGGTTCAGAGATTTAAATGCAGAAGCTAAAAACTATAAAACCCTTAGAGAAAAGCACAGGAGTTAATCTTCAGAGCCTTGAATTAGGGAACAATTTCTTAGACATGACATCAAAAGCACAAGGGACAGGAGAAAAAAACTGTAAACTTCATCAAAGTTAAACTTGAGTGGTTCAAAGGACACTGTAAAGAAGTGCAAAGATAACTCACAGAGTGGGAAAAAAATCTGCAAATCACTAAGCTGATAAGAAACTTGAGTCCAGAAGGTATAACATATTGTTACAACCCAATAAAAAGATAAATAAGCAAATTAAAAATGGGCCAAGAATCTGAAGAGACATTCATTTGCAAAGAAGACTACAAATGGACCATAAATACATCAGAAATGTTCAACATCATTAGGGAAATGTAAATCAAAACCACAAAGAGGTGCAACTTGACACCCACTAAGATGACGATAGTAAATTTTAAAAACAGACAACTTTAACAAGTACTGATGAATTATGAAAAAACAGGAACCTTCATACACTGCTGATAGGACTGTATCATGGTATAGCTACTTCAGAAAACAGTTTGGCAGTTTCTAAAAAAGTTAAATAGTTACCATATGACCCAGCAACTCCACTCCTAGGTATACAGAAAGGAACTGAAAGTATATGTCCACACAAAAGCGTATATGCAAATGTTTATAGCAGCATTATTCTATTGTAACAGCCAAAAGTAGAAACAACCCAAATGTCCATTAAGTGATAAATAGATAAGCAATATATGGTATATCCATAATATGAAATATCCAAACATAAAAAGGAATGAAATACTGATATATGCCACAACATAGATGACGCCTGAAACATCATGCTAAGAAGTCACACACAAGAGGTCACATGCTGTATGACTCCATCCGCATAAAATGTCCAAAATCGACAAATCCAAAGAGAAATGAGGTAGATTAGTGGTTGCCAAGGATTGGCAATAACTCTAAAAAGAGGCATTAGGCTGCTTTCTAAAATAAAATGTTCTGATATTAGAGATCAGTAGTTGTTGCACAATTATAAAGATACTAAAAAAAAAAATCACTTAATTGTATACTTTATAAGATGAATTTTGTGGTATATGAATTGTATCTTAATAAAGCTTAATATGATTTTTAAAAATTGCTTTCAGAGCTATTTTAAAAGTCATGTAAGAAAAATCAGTCTCATTATTCACTGCAATTATATTTCTTTACTAAACCTGACTGATTCTAAATGACATCTACCTTCCCCTATAAAAACTCACATAAAAAATAAAAACTTTCCTTACATTGAGAATATGTAAAAGAAAGTGTCTGATAGCAATTCCAAATAAATTTTAAAACTGTTCTAGGATGCCCTGGCTGGTGTGGCTCAATGGATAGAGGACCGGCCTGCAAACCAAAAGGTTGCTGGTTCAATTCCTGGTTAAGGCACATGCCTGGGTTGTGGGCCAAGTCCCCAGTAGGGGGTGTGTGAGAGGCAACCACACATTGATGTTTCCCTCCCGCCCTCCCTCCCCCTCTGTCTAAAAATAAATAAATAATATCTTAAAAAAATAAAGTTCTAGGTACAACACACACTGTTGTAGTACATTTAGTCTTTCAAGGTAACTAACACTACACATGCTGATATAATTTAAATACCTCAATTCAAAATTGTTTAAAATTACCACCTTATTATTTACATTCACACCTAAAATAGTCATACGCTATATGCTATGAGTAAAATACAGTCATAGCAATGTTATGAGTATAGAAATAGCAAATGCCCACTGCTCAAAGAGCACAAACTATTATCTATCTGCATGTCCTACTCTAATTTACTCTCTCTCATCTAGAAAGATTAAGAATCAAAACTCAGTATCTACCCCCAAAATAATTTAAAACAAACCAAAGTCCTGCTTACAGTGGAAGTACTGAAAGTACCATTAGCAACATCATCTCAACACTTGTGGTCACTTATTTAAGTATGACTTACAGGTTTTTTGGTTTCTATCACAAGAAGAGATGGTGGTCTTTCGTTGGATGACTGATTTGGAGGGTTTTTTTGATCTGCAAATCTTGAAGACGGCTTATAGATTTTGCCTCTTTTTTCATCTGTTTCATGTTCTTCTGAAATTTAAAATACTAAGTTTCAGTACTAATTTCACATTATTTGGATTTTATTTACTTGCTATTTTTATTTAAAAATAAAAATACCTTCAGTACTAAAATAATCACTATTGACCAAATATGAAGTTAAATTCAAATATTAATGCCCTATTCTCAAAAATATTAATCATTTTATAGCAAAACTATGAAATATATTCAAATTTTTAGAGAGTATTCTGCTATCTCAAAACTTGGAAGGTAGCCCTGACTGGTGTGGCTCAGTGGTTTGGGTGTTGTCCTGTGCAGCAAAAGGTCGCCAGTTCAATTCCTTGTGAGGGTACATGCCTGGGTTGTGGGCCAGGTCCCCAGCTTGGGGGAAGCCAGAGGCAACTGATTGATGTTCTTCTCCCTCCCTTCCCCTTTCTCTAAGAATAAATAAAATCTTTTAGAAAAATAAAAACTTGGAAGGTAGTAAATTTTTTAAAACTTATCTGGCTCCAATTTCTCATTAATCCATTTTGGCCCCTTAGTTTGCTAATTACTATCACCACTAGAGGGTGATATAAAGGAAACATTAAAATCAAAAGCAATCAAACTTCTTTCATAAGTATCTGCAATCATTTATCCAAGGCTTTTGGGTTTACTCAAGGGCTATAATATTCACACTTACCTTTAGCTGCATTAACAACACCTCCGCGCACAAAGGTCTTCACTTTATTACCATCACTTCCTTCAAAAGCAGCAAGAAATTCCTCATAAATTTCAGCAGCAGCCTTTTCATCCTCCTATATTCACATGAATATATTAATATCATAACATTATTGTACATAGGGGTAAACTCATCAAGGAATAATGCAAATGAAACCTCTCCCTTCACTGGGAAGAGCAGGTTAAGAAGTCCTAATAGGCAATAGCTAATCCTTAATAGATATTAGGTACTATTTAACATTGAAACTAAGAGAGGCTTTGCTCTTCTACTGGCAATTGGTGGGACTAGGAAAGGACCTATTAAGTAAATTTGTTTGGAGACAATTCAATAGTTACACTGTATGACAACTGATTATATAAAATATATTATTCTATTAATGTTTATATTGTTTCCAAGGCAACAATGATTTAATTCAGTGAATACAAAGATTTCCCTCACAAACCACTTAAGGCATAAGTATCAGAAATTGAAGCAGACTTATCTCCAGACAGTTGACATTAAAAAAAAAGATAAAAATCTTGACAATTTCCATTATAACTATGCTAAATGTCCTAAAATATATGACTAGAAAGGCCAATGAAACAATAAAAAATACAGAAATAAATCCAATAGCATGTGGAAATTTAGCACTCAATAAATGTGGCATCTCAAATCAGTGAAGAATAGATGGACTGTCAATGAATGATGGTGGAGGGTACCTTGACAGCTATCTGAAAAAAGATAAAAATGAACCAATTATCTACATTATACGCAAGTAGAAGTGCAAACGAATCAAATTTATTTTTTAAAAAACAAAAACCACCCCTGGCTGGGTGGCTCAGTTGGTTGGAGCATGGTCCTGTATTGTGGTTTCAATCCCTGGTCAGGGTACATGCCTAGATGGTGGGTTCAATCCTCAGGTAAGAATTAAAAAAAATAATATAAGTAAATAAATAAATAAATAAAACCATATAAGTATTTAGAAAAATGAGGAAATTCCTTTATAACTGAGAGTGGGGAAAACTTGACTGAAAAATCAGAAACCCTAAGGAAGGACTGATAAATCTGACTATATAATAATAAATTACTTTCTACATGAAAAAGCACCAGAAGCAAAATAATAAAGACAAAGAACCAGAATAAAACACTGCACCTTGTATCACACAGAAAGTGTCAATGTACCTAATATACAAAATGTTTCTAAAAATATAACCTACAAACTCATAAAAAGATTAGTTATGAGCAGACAGTTCACAGAAACAAACATAAGAAAAGGTGTCCTACCTTATTTATAAGAAAAATACAAATTTAAACATATACTATTTTCACCTGGCAGACTGGCAAAACTTCTTGGATGACATTTTCTGTTCGACAGGCTATGGGGAAACCACCTCTCAAAAATTGCTGACAGGAATGTAAAATGGCCCTGCCCTTATAGAGAGCAGTTTAACAATATCTAGCAGAGATACATTTATGTATTTACCATCAACCCAGTAATCTCACTTACAGGAATATATCCCAATGATACACTAGCAAAAAATAAAAATAAAAATAAAAAAAATCATGTGCATACTACTACCCATAACTGCATTATTTGACATGCCAAAAGATCAAAACACAAATGGCCTCAATAGAATTTCAGTTGAATGAACTATTGCATATCTACACAACTATTAAAAAAATATTTCAATATACTTGAAGTAATCTCTGAGATATAGCGTTAAGTGAAAAAAGCAAGATGGAGAAAACCATACTATATGTACCATGCTACTGTGCATCTAAGAAAGGAGTGAGTACAATCTACACACACACACTTGGTTATAAAAAAGAAACGACCAGAAAATAATCAAAAGTGTTACACAGTAGGGAGAAAATGGTAGAGGACACATGGATAGAAACTAGACTGCTCTGGTTATACCTTATGTTTTAGACTTGACTTGGAGGTGAAAAACACCCTGGAAGTCAAAAGTCTTTGAAAAACAGCTCTCTAGTGCTCATACACTTACTGCCCCCTTTAGATCTATTTATCTCTAAGGATAACTCAAAATACATTTTAAACATTACCTTTTTCTTCAATTCTTCTTGTTCCTTCTTACTTAAAGTTCGTTTAGCTGTACTCATTTTTCCAATACTGAATGCTTTTAGTTTGTTTTCTAGAAGAGGCTATGAAAAGAAATAAAAAGCACACCTTTACATACACATTCTTAATGCTATCTATAACTCAACTGATATACCTCAACTGATAAATCAAATCTTCAGAACAGACAACTTAAAAAAAATTCATTGTAAAGAAGAAAAGTTGAGGGTACTCTAAGCATCAAGTGCCTGCCTACCCTGAGCTTAATTCTGAACTATTCATTAAATATCTACATTTGCTAGAAGAAGGTCAATAACATACAAAACCCATTTTTTTAAAAAAAGGTAAAAAGATTTCAAACTCATTCAACTAGCTTCTTGGCAGCAAGAATAAAAGTACTTGAGGAGGGAAAGCACAGATGTTTCTGAGCAAAAGAAGCAGAAATAAAAAAACATATTTCAAATAGGGAGAAGGAGGGAGGGATACATTTCCATGGTTCAGTAGCAGAAATGAAAATACCATCTATAACCACCAGTTCAGGTACTACAAATCATATCACTTCTTGTATAATTCAGTAAATCACTTCATTATTTTTTTCTTTCTGCTTTCAGTGCTTTCCCATTGTGTTTCCCCTGATATTTTCAGTACCCACCTCACCCCATAGTTATGACAATATTATTGACTGTATTTCCTATGCTGTACTCTATATCTCCATGACTATTTTATAACTACCAATTTGTACTCTTTAATCCCTTCAGCTTTTTCACCCAGTTCCCATCAATCTGTTCTCTGTACCTGAGTCTATTTCAATTTTGCCTGTTCATTTATTTTGTTATTTAGATTCCAGATGTAAGTGAAATCACGTGGTATTTGTCTTTCTCTGACTGATTTCACTGAGGATCATACCTTCTAGGTTCATCTATGCTGTCACAAATAATAAGATTTCATTCTTTTTTATGGCCAAGTAATATTTCACTGTATATATGTACCACAACTTTTTTATCCACTCATTCATCATCAGCAATACTGACATTTATGAACATAATAATTTCATTTTCTTTTGAGAAAACAGTATTTTAATGAACTTTTTATTCATGTAACTTAAAAGCAATTTCATTCTGAAAGATGGCTTGAATAAACTATAGGCCTTTAGTTCTTTAGTCAGTCATTTGATTGTTAGGATTTTGATTCATGACTTAAAAGAAATGTTAATTAAATACTACTTAAAATATTAATCTGCAATTGAAATATGAAGGCTTCTCTAGCACCTACTAAAATGAGAAGTTAACCAATTGCCAAAATTAAGACTTTATCAATCCCCAGTTATTAAATAAAAAGCCTTGCCCTTGAGGTATGCAGAATGAAAGAATAATATTGCCGCAAACTATTTTAAAGTTACATTAAAATCCCTTTGAAAAAAAAGAAGAGCAGTCTGTAACCCAAAAGTCAATATTGGGTTTCAGGAACAGATTCAAAATAATTTTCTCTTCCAGTTAGAAGGAAAAATGACTTTGCCATCATTTAATCAGCATCTTTGGTTTCAACTTCAAAAGTTTAGACAAATTATAAAAGTACATATCAATTCAATGAAAGACGTAATTTTACAAAACAAAATGTTTGGGCCGAATTTTATTTATATTGTAAGAGCCAAGTCCAAGATGGAAATGGTTAAGGAAATTAAGAAATGTTTACACAAAGAAATAATCATCCATTAAAAAGTTTATTTACAGAACGTTTGTGAAAATTTTAAAAATTAGAACTGAAAACAGAGTATTTTTAAGTATGTTCCTGTAAAACCGATCTCGCAAAGTAAAAATATTTTTGTGCTGAGAAACATTAAACAAGAAAAATCAAAAAGTATTATCAATGTTAATACTGGCTGGTGCTGATTATCTTCATTTTCCAAATTTAATCAAAGAAAATATTTACATTAAAAGAGGAGCACCTTTCAGACACATGCAGTAAAGACGTTCCTTCTCTGGGTTCTTGTATTGCCCTGGACAACACACCAACCAGAGTAAACAGCGCCTGTTGTGTTTGCTTCCCAGGGCAAGACTATAAGCTCCCCAAAGGCAAGAGCTGTGTTTTAATCATCTCTGTATTTCCAGTGAATGCCGTTTGGCACTTGGTTCAGTAAATGTTTGTTAGAAGGGAGGAAACAATAAATCTGACCATTAACTATTTTACATTTGAAACATTCCTTGGTTTTTTTAAACTGATAAGAACAGATACTACACTTGCTCTTAGCCAAAAGGCTGAGAAGCGATACTCCTTGGTTTTTTAAATAAAATTTTAAATTTTAAATAACTACTTCACTTATGAGTTAAAAAAAATTTCCTTGGATGAACTTAAGTTTTTCATTAACCCAAATACAACAAAGAATATACGATTTTCAAATAGTACAAAATGTAACAAGTACAAAATCAACTATCCAACCACCAAATTGAGGCACAGATTAAAATAATTAACTATACTTTCTTTAACACCTACTCTTGAGACATTCTGGTGAGGAGAATCACAAAGGCTTTCACGGGCACTTTCATTCCTATAATTATGTTTTCTTGGGCTCTTAGGTCGTGTCCGACTTGGCATATCACTATCTGAGGGTCCAGATGCATCCATCTTCAGGAAAAGGAAAACAAGTTTTAAAAAAATCATATATATAATATTGAAAAACAGAAATAACTCAAATGTCCAAATATTGAAAAACTTAATTATACACTATCAAAACTCTCATTCCTTAATATCACACGAATTTCATCAGAAAAATCTTCATGTATAGGGGAAGTCGGATTGCCCAAACACCCAAGTCTGATTAACCATACTTTGTCAGTTGTTCCTTGGAATAAAAATGGTATCCCATGAAAAAAGAAGCCCATTTCATATTTCAATTTAAACAATCCCACAAGTACTTTTCCTCAAGACAAATATACTTTGGTAAACTGACTTGCCTTATAAGAACTTCCCATTTCATTGCACACAACATTAAAAAGACTCATAAAAGGACAAGAACTAATATTAGTAATTTGATTGCTGAATCAGAAATGTTCTTAAGGGAAACTAGCATATTTCTACTGTGCCTGTTGGAAACAATACAATTACTGTGACATTTTGATAACACTGCCTTGATTCATGCTTAGGTGCCAACATTTTACCCATCAACTGCGTTTTCACCGAAAGTGCAAATATCAACACAGGGAAAGAGAGAAGGCTTAGTGTTATTGCAAAATAGTTTTAAATTTACAGATTCCCAGGAGGGTTCTCAGTGACTCTCAAGGTCTGAAAAACAATACTTTGAGTGCAGTTGTAATAACATATGTAAAGAATGTTTATTGCAGTACTGTTCAAAATATCAAAACCCTTTAAACAAAAAGTATATGCCCATCAACAGAGAAATACCTTAATAAATAACTGTACCTCCCTCTGTGGAATATTATGATGCTGTTAGAAAAACTAGACAAGAGCTATGCCTGCTTACATGCAGGGATGTCCAATACGTATACTGCGCAATGAGAAAAGAATAAGTGCATATAACACAATGCCATAGTCAATGTACAAGTATACACATTTATGTATGCACAGAATTTTATAAGCATGATTAAAAAAATAAGGAAATATATATACTAGGTTTCTAACATGGTTTGAAGGGCCAACTTAAGTCAATAAAACAAAAAAAAGGAGGACACCAAACAAAAATGGTGAAAGAAAATAGACATATATAATTGTATTTATTAAGTAAAATAAGGACAGAGATATAAACAAAAAGAAATTAAATTTTAAAGAAAAAAACAAAGACTGCCTCTTATACTCACATGTGCATCTGAAGATCCAGATGAATGAACATCTGATGATCTGGTCTGTAAGTACAAAAAATAAAAGTCAATGAATTGATTAGAAAAATGTCTTACTATGCTAACAAAACAAATATTTCTCATACTTAATTCAATTTTTCTCAGACTTAATTTTTCCAAACCTGTTAGCAATTCCTTCTCAGTTAATAAAACTAAACACGGGCAATCTCTAACTTACAAAAAGGTTGTGATCCATAATAAATGTGTATGTCCATTCTTTAAAATTCAGAGTAGGTATTTTCCAAAACCTGGTACAAACGATAGTCATAAGATACACTGTTCACTGCTGCAACACTGACCTATTAGCAACTTACTACACAACAAAGAAACCTCCCCTCCTTTCTTCAATCACCCGAAATCATATAAGTATAGTCTAATGGCGAGAAAATCCACATTTAAACCCTTGGTATCTAGCAAAAAGTACAAATTCAACTGCAGAAACTGTTCAAGAAGAACACAATCTTATTACCAAATCCCCAACAGGCATCCATTTGCAGCTTGTTTTAAAGGGGGCTGCCTCCACTTGGGCATGCCACTGTGGCTGACTATCGCACAAGCAAGAGTTCAGTCTTCCAGGCACAGCACTTCCCAGTATCAACTCTCGGAACCTCATCTTATTTTTTTTCTTAATTGATCTACAGTTCAGATTACACACAGTATACAACATTTATTGTTTTTTTACTATTCATCTAAGGACAAAGAAGCCAAACTGCAAAGCTACTTAAATAATAAGATTCATATGGATACACACAGTATTATCTTATCAGGTTTTCACACTCAACCAGTTTTTCCCTCTGAACTCCACTTTACTGGGTCCTAGTCAAAATCAGCCTGAAATAACTAAGCACCAAGATACCTCCCACCTCTATTCTATCCATTGTTTTTCTGTCCCCAACTTTTATTGTGATCCTCATTCACTTTCTTCTCCTGGCTAACCATGGCATGAAAGAAATTTTTTGATATTTAAATTAACCCTGTGGAACACACTTTGAAACACAATTTGAAATGTGCCCATTTGCAGACACTTAGAAATTAGAAAATTAAAGAGAATAAATAATTTCTCTTAGAAAAAACAAAAAGGTCACCAAAAGACAGAATGGTCTGGGGAAAAATATCAACTGCCTTCTGATGTAGCAATATTAACCTGCTAGGTAACAAAAATAATATCCTAATCATAACAGTAACAAAAAAATATAAAACAACTAGAAACCAACTAAAGAAAATGCACACAACCTGTGTGAAGAAAATAAAAACTATACATAGGATTCAGTTATTCAAGTCATCTTTTGAAAAGACTCATTATATTCCTGCATGGGAGAACTCACTATTAAGAAAATGTCCATTAATACCCAAATTTATTTACATACCTAATGCAATTTCATTCAACAGCTCTAAATCCCAAAGGGAAATCTTTGCAAAGGGGAGTGCCAAAAATAACTCTCAAGTTCAACCAGAAGAATAAGCATACAAGAGGAGCTAAGAATGCGTTCGCCTTCCATTTATTTTCTATTCCCCATATCCAAATCATTCCCAGGATTTAAAAATAACAGCATGGCTTTGGAGATGCATCGGCTGATTTCAATTAACCTAAGATGGCACTGATCATATTTACTGCAACCCAGGCATTTCCCATTGATATGGAAGTTAAATTCAAACAGTAATAAGATTTTAAAAGAATAGCCAACTTCTAAAGCTAGTGGTCCACGTAAACAGTAAATGCAAAGCTACTTCAGAAGCTGAGCCTCTCCTCCTTCTTAACCTGGAACTCAACTATACTGTTTGTCTTGCACTTAGGTTTTTATTTTCTTTTAAACTTACAAACAACAAATTAATGCTTAAAGATCTTCGGAAGTCTACAGCACAATTCCTCATCCAAATGAAAAGACCCAAAAGCAAGAAATGAAACATCAGAATAAGGAAGGTTTGAGGAAATGAAACAAACACAACAGAAATTTATCTCAGGGTAAGGAAAGCAGACAGTACAGGTGTGGGGAAGGATAGCAAGAAGATCCAAGAAGAAAAAGAATCATTCTGATGGCTGCTGAGGAGATAAAGGTGAAGCCAACTACAATTATGCCATATGACCCTGTAGCTTGGTGGCTGAGAATAAAAACTATTTTTTTCTTCCTGGCTGCTCCTACGCTAGTTCAGGTGAAAGGCCTCCACAACCCAAGTTTTCAAATTAGCAAGCTAACCACAGTAACATTCCCCCAACACTACCATTCTGTGTAGTCAACTCTCCATTCCCATTTGTCTCCCAAATGTCTTTCTCCTCTCATCTTCTAAAGCATCAACTTTTATCTGCACAAGTTTAACAATCTCTCCCATAGAAAGCAAATCAATACCTCTTTGTACAGAGAAGATCCCATTCTTCATCTTCAACCCTGATCCCTCTCATAGGTCCCAGTCTGCTCTCAACTACTCCTGCACATTTTCAACTCATGTCTGCAAGCTACTCAGATCCAGTATGTCTAAAATGCCTCAAAAACTCTTCTTGTCCTCTTGACCTTATCTCTGACAGTGGGTGGTCTGGCAGTAGTAAAATGTTAAAAGCACAAACCTGAAATCAGAATTTGTAATACTGGGCCTAGTTCCTTCATTGTAAAGTTTAATAGCACCTGCCTCGGGAATGCTGTGAAGGATAAATACAGATGAAGCACTCAGAACAGTGTTTGGTACATGTTTATTACCTAATCAGTAAGTGTAAGGCTGCAGAAACATTACAACAGGGTCATCCAGGACTCCTTCCTTATCCCCTGTAATCAACTGAGTCAAATTCTGTTCATTCTAGCTCTTCTACAAGGACCCCTTTTCCTATCTAAAGACACCATTGTGGTTTAGATCTTTGCTTTATTCACCCATTTACTGGGCAACCAGTTACTGGTACTCTGCCTTGCATTAGATATAAAGTAAAATAAGACACAGCTTCTGTCATTAGGAGCTAATAAAAAAAAAAACCCAAGTGAAAATGTGGCTATGCACTGGCAAATCTTAATGGAAGTGAGGAAGAGGTTAGAGAAAGCTTCCCAGAAAGGATCTGAAGTGAGATTTTTGAAGCAACCCTCAATAATCAGCACTGCAATATTCTTGCAGTGATTGGTCCTCCTCACTATCATATCCTTCCTAAGCTATACTCCCAGAATTGCTTTCTTAATGGACTTTCCTGTCTCAAACTTTCCATGGCCCTCTAATTTTATTCTGTAGCATTCAAAGCCCTCCACAATTTAGCTTAAACTTACCTTTCCATCTCTGCTCCTTATGTCATATGCAAGCACCTTACTAAACCAGACTACTTATCAATCCATTTCCCTGCAATTTCCTTTTTTTTTTACCTCACCCATCTTTTTTATACCGGCTATTCATAACCTTCAAAACTCTCCTTGTTCAAAAGGACTCAATCACTCAAGTTCCTCTATGCTCTTGGAAGACTCTCCTGCCCTGGAATTCAACCAGCTCTCACTTCTTTCTCTGAACTTTTAGGTACTTCTGACAGCTCTGCCTCGCACCATAATGTCAATCCTCTTCTTTCACTAACTGCATACTCCCCAGAAATGGGCAGGGTCTTATTTAATGTGTTTTTTCCCCCTCAGAATCAAGCACCAGATGGGCAATTGACAGATACTCAATATACTGGTTATTTAACCTGTTGCAACAAGTATCTATACAACAAAACTGCACTCCACACTATCAACATACTATGCTGTCCCCTCACTAACATGGAGCCGCTTCCTGGCTTCAAACCACTCTCCAAGCCAAAACAAGATTCACCTCTCAAAAAAGCTCTAAGATCACTGAGACATATACCATGTACAATAAAGTTACATAACAAATGTGAGATTATTTTTTAAATTACATCCAAAACACTAGCAATTCACGAAAAGTTGTAACTACATTTTGAATGTCCTGTAATTTACCTAAACTGAGGAAGGGTCTAGTGAAAAATATTTAATTCCACAGAGCCTTTTAACAGTACAAAATAGTCTCAAGTGCTGTACACAAATGTATCTTGCTTTCAAAAAAGTTATTTCAACAAAATACCTAGAGTAATAAAATGTTAAAGCTACTTAATACTAGCATAAAAGAAAAATTATTTCTAATATCAATGTTTTTGAGTTTACTATCCTTTAGCAAGTTTTTATTTTTCTTTCAAAATTGATGCTCTTTGTAAAGAGAGGCAGGAGTCTTCAACTTGCATTCCAAATGGGATGCAGTAAAGCAAATGGGTATCTTTTACAGGGTTACACATCTTCAGGCACCACAAAAGAACATGTACCTACACAGTAATAAATACCTAAGGATCACCAGCCAGCCTCTAATGGGACCCTAATTTTACTTATTTCTTACAAGTGAAATATCTGTAGAAAATTATCAATCAAAATTTTTCCCCAAGCAACTTAGCACTGAATGTCAAGAAAGCCAGCAGTATTTTCTTTATTTACCCACCTAAACGAATTTTTGACAATATAGCAAAAAATGAGCATTGTAGGAGGACAATAACAGGGCACATGATTCAGTATTAGTATTATTACCAGAAAAGAACATGCAGAGGAAAGAAAATATCACATTCTCCTCATATCCTCATTTTTGCTCAGCAAGCAAAAAAATCTTAAAATTAAAATAATAATTTGATAAATTCTAAGGACACATGTTTAACAAGGTTATTAACAAATAATTATAGGCTCTTTCTTTGTCTCTCCTGTCAAAAATCAGAGCTACAACATGGCATCAATGCCACTCTCCCCCAAAGTAATATTTTAGTCCAGTGATAAACAGGAATAATGCATAGGAAAATTTTAGCCCATTCCTAAAACATTTACTGAATTTCTATTTGCCAGGGTTTAAAAGGAAAAGCATAGCAAAATTACACAGAAAATAAAAGGTCACGGGATCTCTTCACTGGGGACAACTACACATAAAGGTAAGTCATTTGACTACGCATACATAAAATGTAATTTTTAAAGCTCGAAGAAATTGTAGAGGTTATCTAACTTCATCTAATCAAGACACGTCAAATTATTTTGCCATTATCAATGGCAAGAATCTTGCATGTTGTATCTTTTCAACTTAAAATTTTCCTCAATGTCTAGAAATATGATTTACAAACATCCCTCCCCATATCAATGTGAACTTAAGTATCAAAAAATAAGCATGAAACAGAAGAAACTTTTCACTCCATCTGTACTGTACAATGTCACTCATCTACTGTAACCAGAGAAGGGGAAATCGAACCAGAAATCAAAGGCTAGAAATTCCAAATACTGTAGTATTAGCCAAAATGATCTGATACTCTCTTCAATAATTTATGGACGTGTTAAAAATAAAAAGCAATTATCTAGAAAGTCATTATGATAATCAATGACTTATCTCAGGTTTAGACTTTATCCTGACATTCTGATAAGTACTTTTAATTTCCCCTAAGAATAAAAAGGGAAAGGAACTAATATTATTATGCGCTTTATAGACATTAACTCTTTTAATCCGTGCATCAACCCTGTATAAAAGGGATTCTATCCATATCACAAAAGAGGAAATCGAGACTCAAGAGTTTACACAATCTGCCTTAAAATTACAAGTATAATTAAATGCCGAGGCAGGCTCTGAATCCAAATGTAGTTTATTTGTTATCAAAATCCAACATCTTTCCACATTACGCAGCCTCCACATTGAGAAAGCCACATCGGTATCATCTGAATCCTGAGATACTGACTCCTTTTACAGACATCAGTAGAAAATCTCTTAAGGGCATCAACTGATGGTTAATCTAAAGCAATACATTTAAAAAGATTTATTAATGGAAGACCCAACAATTTAATTATAGGTAACAGTCTCACATAGCCATGGAAAGTAGTATTATATAAGACTGAACATGGACATTAAAATGTTTTCAATGTATCCAAGGCCTCAAAATAGGAAATACTTAAAATATTACTTTTAGAAAAAACAAAAATTGCGAGGCTTATGTGTGAATTATTATGGATTTAACTTGCTTTAGTCTTAAATCCATTGAGAGGAAGTGGGTTCGGAAGGTACCCATCAATTCATCGCCCTATACTCCCCAGCGGGAAATGTACCACGGAAGGAAGAAAATGACAGAGTAAAGGCAAAATGTAAAGCACCCAAAACTGGCCCTCCACAATAGTTTCTACATAACTAAAGGATGCCTGGTAAAGGCATGCATTACTAATTACGAACTATGTGAACATCATTCACCAAAGGGCATCAAATACGGTTTATTAGAAACTGAGACAGCAAGTACAAAACGGGTTATTATGTTGTCAAAACAAACTGTAAATGCAAGGCTCGCCCTAACTTCCTAATAACCGACTTATAATCACACTCACTCTAGATGTAACAGCCCTTAGAACCTTTAAGGGTTACACAACTTCTTACATCACCATAAGAAAGCTTAACAACTACGCCGGGCTGTACCTATTACTTTTCGTATCGTTTTCGAGATGGAAGAACTCAAAGAAAACACGATTAAATGAACCGCCCACGATGGCAGCTAAGACCTGATGCTGCTAAACACACCTGATACTAAACTACTTTCACGGCTCGATGGTTCCACAATACGTGCACACGGTTGCCTGCTACCTCAACAGCACTGTACTAATAATCTAAGGTGGCTTCCAAGTACAGGGAAGTTCCCCTTCCATTGAAAAGACACAAAAACGCAGGAGACCCGGAGTCCTCGAATAGGCGCCCAGGAATGAAGTGCTCATTTTGCACTTCCTCTGGAATGAGATAAGACCACGTGTGGAGCGCAGAGCAGTAACCCAAGCGGCGCAGCACTGCGAAGGAGAGCCCCGCCGCCTCTGCACTTCCCTCCCCGCGTCCGTCCACTATTGGTCCTCCCCTCACAACTGGCGGCCCTACAAGTTATTTATTCCCATGAGGGCACGAAGGAAATTGAGGGAGGCCGGAAGCGTGAGATCCAAAGCGAAAGAAACCAGAAAAGAGGAGCATAGACTTTATCACAGGGAAGCGATTCCCGCCTACCCCAGGCGCTGACCCGTGGCCTCAGCGCAACAAGGTGAGACACAGGAGCGCGTTTTCACCGCTTCAGATCTCCATCTAAATCCTTGATTTCACTCCAGTGTCAAGCGCGGGCCGAAATATTGAGGGAAGCCACCCTACCCCAGGGCCCGCCAGTCTCGAGCCAAATCCGGGCTGGGACTAAGGGAAGATACCAGGCCTCTCAATCTGCGCATAACCGTGCGTCCGCACGCCGGCCTACAACCGCGAACAGAACGCGGACTCCCACCCAGCCTACTCTCGCAGGCCAAAAGCGTCTGCACGCCCCAGACGACCGTGAGAGACTCACTGACTTACGAAGCCCTTTATGAAATTACCTTTGAACTGGCCTTCTGAGACCCGCTTGGCGTTTTGTCCGCCATCTTGAGCTTTGCCCCTCCTTCGGCGGTGGCAGCAGCAGCAGCAGCAGCAGCACGAGCGAGTCGAGAGCCGAGAGAGTGGATCACAGCCGAGCCCGCCAGAGCGCCTGCAAGGCTGCATAGTCAACTACCGAGAAAGGGAAAGCAAGCTCGTGCTCCTGAGACTTCCGGCGTCTCGATTTCCCTGGCCCCGCCCACTACACTGGTTCTTCTGGTTGTCTGGGTTGCTGGGCGTGTTTTTGGACCCGGAAATTTAGAGCATCTTCTAGTCCTGGCTTTCAGAGCCAGGTGATACTTAACTCTTTTTCAAGCTCCAACCCACGATAGGTGCGAGCCAGCTGTGTTTCCTGGCGAGGAGGGAACGTCTCCTTAAAGAAAAAAACGCACTGACCACCGGGGCAGGATTTTACCTCAACTGAGAAAATAAGTCTGGAGCGAACTCGGGGACCCAGCGATCCATGAGCAATGACCTTGTTCGCACCACCGTGGTAGATCACACACTCGTGGGAAACTTACAATCTGTTCAAGGTATTTGAATATAGGTATTTGTGCCCAGAAAGCGGAAATGAAGAGCATTTGACCCAATCTGAGATTCCGGCAATGAAGGTATCCGATAGACTCCGTTTAGGGCGTCTGCAGAATGAGTAGGCACCTGCAGAGAGAGAATGTATGAGAGGAAATCATAAATACACTATTCTAAATCCAGCATACATGGAAATTATATTTAAGAATTACATTTTTTAGCTGTTTTCATGTTTAATCACAGAAGTGGAAGGGAAATCACAAAGGGAATAGTTGAAACGAAGGAAAGTCTTGTGGCATGAATCAGTAGGCCTCTGTGTAGTCCCCGTTTTATTAGACCTGATGCAGGGATGGATGTGGCTGATCTAATGGGGAGCATTAATGATTGAGTGGGGAGCAAGTTCACACAGGGCCCTGAGGCAACCAATGTGCTTAGTAGTTAGGATTCTGTTCTGAGGATAGAGTGGCCAGCAACAGGGGTAAATAGGACTGTGACATGGTCAGATTTTAAGTTTTAAAAGATGGCACTGAAGACTGAGGGAAGGGAGGAAGAAGACAAGTTCACAACCTTCTCTCCCTAATTCATTTATGCAAAATATTTTTGAGAACTTTTTGTGTATAAAAGCATGCCCGAAGTGTTGAAGCTTAAAGAGACAAGTAAAAGATACATTGTCTTTATATGATCAAAATTTAATGAGGATTGGGCAAGAGAAGGGAACAGCACACTAACACTAAGCAGAATTAAATTGATGCTGCAGGTAAGGATAATTAGCTGTGGGATCTCTGACAGAATCATCCGCTGAAAGGGCGGAGTGGGATTTGCTGTGCCTAGTCATGCTCAGGCAATGCTGCAGGCTGATTTTGTCTCTTATAAAGTGAATGTAGGCACGCTTTTTATTCAAATCCCTAAAGTCCTACTTCCCATAAAAATAATTTTTACTAAATGTTTACCCCAAAAGTTAAAAATAAAGTTAATGCAGACTTCTTCCCTCTCTTCTTCATACAAGAAAGCCCCAAAGAAAGTCGGGCTAATGTTACCTTACTAGAAGTAATACATAGGCCTTTATTAAGGCCTGATTAAGCCTACTTTTAAAAACTCACAGTCACGGCAATGAGCAGAGTTCTCCTGAATATATATTAAAATCATGAAATCTTGACCCTATTATTCAAACTACAAATTAAGGAGGATGAACTAGCACGAATGTACAAGTGGAATTTTACAGAACCTGAAATTTTAATTAGATTCACAATTACTGTTGCCAAGGGACTACACATAAATAGTAAGGAAATCATACAATTTACTGCAATTACTACTTTTTCACAATCACATATAGTCCAAGGATGGGCTAGGGACATGTTGAAAGTAATAAAAATTGTTATTTTAGCTATAATCCTTGTGGGAAGATTGCCCTTACTGTGTAGCAATTGTAAAAATAAGATAATGAGCCCAGGCCAGGTGGTTCACTTGGTTAGAGTGTCACCTCAAGCACCAAAATGTGGTGCATTCCATTCCTGGTCAGGGTACTTGCCTAGGTATCAGGTTTGATACCTGGTTCGAGCACCTATGGGAGGCAAATGATCCACGTTTCTCTCTCACGTCCATGGTTGTGCGTATGTGTGTGTGTGCCTCTGACTCTCCCTCCTTCCTGTCTCTCTGTTCAAAAAAAAAAACCTATAAACATATCCTCAGGTGAGAGGGAGAAAGATAACTAAACCTAGCATGGTTCAGATGGAGTATTGTGGAAATGGGTATTCCTAAGTGAGTCAGTATGTTGTATGTGTGTGTGTGTGTGACAAAGACAAAGGAGGACTTAAGTTGACCACGGGCAAGTCATGACAACTAGCAGAAGGCAGCAACTAGGGAGTTCTTACCATAGCCCAGCTGTCGAAAGGTGGGCTTGGCTTGGAGCACCCACAGATCAGACCTCACTTAGCCTGTGCCCTGCCTTTCACCATTGGGGAACCTAAATATCCCTATGAAAACTGAAACTCTTGAGACAAGACCAGGTAATTAAAAGGCTGGGTGGAGTATGTACTTATGAAGAGAAAATGAACAAGACTATTATCTCTTACCAATTTTATTTGGTTGCCAATAACAGAAGTCCAACTTGTAGTGGTCTCAAACACATACGGCTTGATTTTCACATTCCTGTCATGGTAAGTCTTTTTATCAGAGAACATGGCGTACTTTTCTTTTTCAAGTTTTATTTATTTCCTTTACATTGCTTTTGTACATTTCTTGTTACCTTTTATTGTTTCTGTTGTTAAAATAGAGTAATTTTTTCCATTATTTATATGTGCAAAGTAATTGTTTATACATTGATTACTATATATCAGTGTTGTACCCAGCTATTTCTCTGAATTCTTTTATTATTTGTGTAGTTTTTTAGTTTTTTCTCTTGGGCTTTCAGGTATACAATCATATTATTTGCACATAACTAAAAATTTACCTCCTCTTGTCCATTTTTTGTATCTTTTGGGGGTTTTTTTCTTGTGTAATGACATTAGCCAGTACCTTCAGCATAACAACAAGAGTGTACTGATGATATACTTGTCTTATTCCCGACTTTAATGAGAATGTTTATAGTGTCCTCATGAGGTTGAGGCTGACCTTTGGGATTTAGGTTGAATTATATATTAAGTTTTTAGCTAATTTTGGAACTGAATATACAGAATTTTAAATTCTCATAGAAAACTCAAGGACTCTGAGATATGCCAAAGAATGCCGAAGGTTAGACAGCCCTGTTAGAGAAACACAGTATGGACTTGTGTTAAGAAAAACCAGTACAACTTCATGACTTGGGAAAATAAGGAACAAATTAGAAATATCCTGCTCTGCGCACCAAGGAGAATGGGCAGAGGGAAGGGCTCATTAGGGGGAGGACAGGTAAAAACCTGTATGAGTGGCCTGTAGGCTGCCATGGCAAGTTACCACCAAGTTAGCGATTTATACCACAGTATATCTCATATATAACATGTGTATCATCTGTAATATATGTTTATTACATTACAAATTGATGATCTTAGTTCTCAAGGTCAGAAGTCCAAATGTACCTGCAGTCCTGTTCATTTTGGAGGCTCTAGAGGAGAATCCAGTTCCTCGCCTTTTCCAGCCTCCAGAGTTCTCTGGCTCATGGTCCGCTCCTTCATCTTCACAGCCAGCAACATAGCATTTTCTCTTCTCTGACCTCTGCTTCCATCCTTGTGTCTGCTCTCTAACTCTACTTCCTCTCCCTGCTAAAGGACCCTGTGATGACTTTGGGCTCACCCTGGCAATCCAGGATAATCACCCCATCTCAAGAGCCTTAACTTAATCACACCCTCAAAGTCCCTTTGCCATGTAAACTAACATATTCAAAAGGTTCCATGGACATCTTTGGAGGGCTATTATTTACAGACCACAGGATCTAAAATGAACTTTCTACTTCAGTGTTTTTTCCCCTGGCTGACAGGCACAGCTTTGATCCTACTGGAAAACTTACATGGGAATGGTCCTAATAAATAAGGTTGTCTCGGATCAACTGGGTTCTGAAATTGTTCCTGGGGAATTCAGTGGGTAGATGGTGTGGTTCCAGGGAGGATGGGATGAAACGGATCTCTGTTGTCAGATTACTTACAGGGTGCAAAGGAGACAGATGTGTCACAATCAGAATGTAATCAATAAAAACAACTTTTAGTCCAATTTGTTAACTGCTGTATCTGCAGTGCCTACAACAGAATAAGCACCATGCAGGCACTCAGATATGTGTTAATGAATAAAATCTACATCAGAGGCATGTTTAGGGGAGCATAAAAGATTGGTACAGCATAGGAGAAGTCAGGGAGGACCTCATGGAGGATGCCATAGAACTTCTGATGGGGGTGTATTCTGTTCGCAAGGTTTTGCTGCTGGGAATACTCCCAGGAGTCACTAGAAGCTGCTCAGAGAGCAGGAGAGAAAACTTAGCACAGTGTTGTCTCATTTTAAGAAAGTGCAAATCCTCTTAATTTTGAACAGATTTGAAAGTCTCCCTTCTGTACAAAATTTAAAATAATGTGAATGTCCCAACCCCAATTTAAAAAATTTTTTTCAAGAATTGTGTAATTTTGGGAGTGCTCTTCTAGTTGCTAGATGGGATGCAGCCCAGTTTGTGAATCATTTATAAAGCCAATTAGATCTTCAAATTAAAAAAAAAAAAAACCAATTATGTAATAGCTTCATAGGCAGGCTCCCAGGACTGCAAAGGTCATTTATTATTTTGCCACGTGGCGGCGCTGCTACCACTGGTAAACAAAAAACACCTGCCATCCTTTACTGGTAGCCAGTGAACACACACGGAACTTCTGTGAATGATCTTAGGACTCTTGTCACATTGATTTTTACAATTAAAAGTATAATATCCTGTCATTGTTGACCAAGTTTTCGTTGAGCAATTGTGCTAGTGCCGGTGCTGGAAAATGTACTAAAAAATCATTTAGAAGGGGAAATCAAATATGAAAAAAGTGTAGTGTACTGTGTGGTTCATTTAGGAAAGAACAGTCCACAAACTATAAGAGATAATAAAAATATTAGAG